CAGTAATTGTCATCCTTTGAGGGTCTAATCATACTCATTATTCGACGCTCCAAGTATAAGAATAAATAAACACTCACTGGAAGCTGGCAGTATTACATAATTCCCCTTTACTTGCATTTTCCAGCACGTGCTTCCCCCCAGGAACCAGGTCTTTCACTTTCTTAACAATTCTTCTAACTGTTAGGCTAATACCTAGCAGGAGATAAATAGGGCACCACATTTCTGCTCTCATAGCTGGTATCTGGGACTAAGCAGAAAGAAAATTGGCAAATGTCTTCGTACACACTGCAGAGAGGTAGATATCAAAATTGGATGAATTCAGTTTGCTAGCTATACCTATCTCCATAAAATCAGTGGTGAGATGAGAAGCTTGAGGAAGGCTAGATCAACCAAAGAAGCATCTCTAACACAGCTGTACCTAAATTAATCACACAGTTAGGCACATAGCTGTGCCTACATGAATCATAACCATCTTGGGCTGACACCGCTCTCCTAACCAGCTTGCCCTCACCTGCCTTTTCACTTCTTTGATTTAATGGTAATTTCTTTTGGACATAGTCTCTTTTGCTTTCTTACCACACCCCCTTTGCAGTATCTCTCTGGGTCTGTCACATCGCAAAGTAATTAATAGTGCTTCCAAAAATGTACCGTTTAGCAGTTTGGCATCATTGTAATGCTTCTAATCTTCTCACGTCTTTTCTCTATATTGCCTTGATTATTCCAGGTGGTGATAATATATATATCAGCACAGTTACTGTTAGGAGTAAATAGGACAGCTGTCAAGAAGCCAGAAAATCCTCAAAAATTTACATGTTATCATGTGCTTTGACACATCTACCTAAATAAGCTACTGTAAGACCAAAAGTATGCAGCATCTGCTTTATGATTTCTTGCCATAACTCCCTTTCTTCCTGCTTTCCCACACATAACCAATATATCCCAAGCCTTCACAACAAAATACAAGTTTAGTTCAGGGCTGTTTAACTGCAGCAGGTTTGCTTCCACAGGGGAGGGGGAACCCAAAATCAAAAGAGTTCATGGATTAGGGATGTCATAGTCACAGGAATCCTGGAAGAAGGAGCCAGCTGTGCATGTAGAGAATCCTCTTGTTTGTGTGTTATCTCAGCCAGAACAGGCAAGGTAACCCTAAGCTTTGGCCAGATGGGGCACTTTGTCCCATTGTGGATAGGAACTCTAGTGCTCCATCTCTTAGAAGGAAAATCTATCTTTTAAAAGAACATACAGCTTTTAAAATGCTGTGTTTCTCCAAGATGATGGGGTAGATAGGAAGCAGCACGAAGTCCATCCGAAGGTCAGTCACTTAGGGGGTGTCCTGTAGGGGTTTATCCTGCGCCAAATACTGCTTACAGTCTTGATTAATGACTGGGGTAACGGGAGAGAGTGCACCCTCAAAAACTTTGCAGGTGACACGAAACTGGTGAGAGTGGCTGATGCATCGGGGGCTGTGCTGCCCTTGAGAAGGACCTCAACAGTCTAGAGTGATGGCACGGAGGACCCTTTCATCAGCACTGGTGAGGCCAGCCCTGGAGTTCTGGGTCCAGTTCTGGATTCTCCAAGACAACAGAGACAGGGAGATACTGTAACAAGTTTGACAGGGTGCTACTAAAATTATTAGGGGACTCATACGATGAGCGGCTGAGAGAGTTGGGACTTTTCAGTCACAAAAGTCCTCAGGAGAGGACTTGGGGTGTGGGGGGTGTCTTATCAATGTGAATAGATATCTGATGGGAGGGTGTACAGAGCATGACTCTTCTCATTGTTACCCAGTGTTATCCAGTGACTAGAGAAGTGACAAGAAATAAATAAAAACACAGGAAATTCCATCTGAACATAACAAAAATGTTTCTTTACTGTGAGAGTCGTTGAGCAGTGCAGCAGGTTGCCAAGAGGTGTTGTAGGACCTCCATCCTTGGCAATATTGGAAACCAGACTGGACATGGTCCTGAGCAACCTGCTGCAGGTGTCCCTGAGAGAGTAGGAATGGTTGGGATGATCTCCAGAGCTGCCTTCCAACCTCAACTGTTTTGTGAGTCTCTGATAAAAAACAAACAAATAAATGAAAATAAACCATCCCATCCCACATAAACCAAGGAAACAGTTGAGGTAGCTCAGTTATTCCAAAGCTGTCTTTCTCAGCCTTTCTGAAAAATAAAAAATGTGAACAGGAGGAGAAAGGCTACACACATGGGGAACAGCTGTCCTGAAAGGAAAGCCAGGTACCCTGCAGCATCCCAGCCACATGCACAGGCAGTGGAGACAGGAGAGCACTTCAGAGCAAAGGTGCAGGAGTCTGGGGATGGGCTGGGAAACATTAGGAAAAAACACATAAAGCAATGTGGAAAAGCCTGGACATTTGGGAATAGATCATTGTGTAAAAGAGGAGTGGCAATGTAAAACTGATTATCAAGAAAAAAAAATATATCAAAAAAATAGATGTTCAAGATAAAATGATGGGAGAACAGGCAAAACTGAAAAAAAAAATGTTTAATACTACCATGCACATTTTCTTCTGATGAGTAAGTCACTGGAGATGTGCACAGAGACCAGGCTCTAAAGAGCTAATACCAAGTGCCTGAGCTGGGCTATCACCCACTGCACTACTACATCTCTCTCCACCCAGCGACATAACCAAATCTCACAGGCCTTTCCCCCTAGCAGTGTGGAAGCTGATTGCAGCACTATATCAAGTTTATTCTTACAAAGAAAGAGGAGCTAAAAAAAAAAAAAGTCGGGAGAAAGGAAGGCAGAGAAAAATGCACAAGACAGAGGCTGTTCTGCAACTGTCCTGCTTCACTCCTTATAAAGACAGCGATGTGGTTTTATTTTTTGTCCGTACTCAGGAGTCTTGTCAAGTTCTGCACACACACATTCAAGGTTTTGAACATAGAGTCTCATCAGCATGCAAGTCATCACATTTAGTTTATTTTTTTCAGCCAAAAAGAGAGCAACAAGTGAGAGATTTATTATTATAGATGTGAACATTACCTATTGGTCTCTAATAGAAAAGGGACTTCTTCCAAACAACTTTTTTAGAGATTTTGCTCTTTCCACATGGGCAAGACAGCCCAGGAGGAGGCTAAGAATACCCGCTCAGCCCATCAAAGTCCTCTTAAAAGCTTTTGCAGAGGTGGAGATCCCAAAACATCACAGTCTGTGGTCAGAACGATACATCCAGACAACAGCTGTGATCAGTCATGGAACAGGCAATGGATGGCAGGGAATTGCCTGCTCCCTGGGCTGTGCAACTCCAGCACTCTTTCCAGGACACAGACATCGTGGCACAGACACATCTGGCCACCAAACTTGCTGAGATCCTCTCCCCTTCTCTAAAGCCCGAGGCACTGCATTAAGTTAATGTATTGGACCTAATTGTTTCTTAAATAAACACATGACAACAAAAAAAATCACGCTGCAGATTCTCCCTCATCTATATTGACCCAGACATAATACCAGCTGCCTACACACTTTTTGTCTTGCTAATGCACAGCAATAGTCCCAGATCCACCCCCAGCCCATCTATTTTGGCGGAGTGCAGAAACAGACGTTAAACCTATGAACGCCACATCGTGCCTTCCTTTTAGATACGAGTGTTATTCAGATTAGCACTTGAATGATGTTGCCCCCACGTGAGAGCTTTTCAAGTGATGGTATATGGCACATATCGTGTGCTGGCCCTGCTTTCAGCCCCTTCCACCCATTAGGCCTGCCTGTAATCTGGTGCTTTCAGAAAGGCAAACACACGGCAGGAGCAACGTGGCCTCCCCGCTTGTGCCCCGAGGCCCCAGGGAAAAGCTGCTGCTGTCAGTACCTGGGTATGGTCTGAACACAAGGGCTCTGGTTGGCAGGCAAATAGGAACAAATTCTTGATTTTTTTTTTTTTCTGATCGCTGAAAACATTGTAAAATTAGTTCAAATAGCATGTGAGCAGACAGACAAGTTCTTTGATATTTAAGGGGCACTGAAAGGTCATTGCAAGAAATTATCAAAAAATAAATAAATAAAGGTGGAGAATCATAGTGCAGTTGGATCAGCCCTGTGCTGGTTACAAAGATCAAACCTGGCCAGCAAGACGGGTACAAAAGGAGACAGCCAGCAGCAGACAAATGGGGACAACACGCTCATCGTGGGGTGCAGAAACGGTGCCACCGTCCTCCCGTGTGACACAAGGGCTGAACACTCACTCACGGCGCCCCTTTCCAACAAGGCCATATCTACCACTTATTAGGTGCTCTTATTACAGCAGTTCTTTGACGGTGACCATCGCTCTCTGTTACAAGCAGAACATGGCGCCTCACGAGGCGGGCGAGTCAATCGATGCTCTTCTCCCAGCGGAGCGCCGCGGTGCCCGCTCCCGGGGCTCCGGCGCAACGCGGGCGCGTGGGAGCTGCACACGCAGCAGTGACGCCTCGCGGGCAGCGCGCGCCGGTAGCCACCCAGCGACTCGGTCACAAGGGTCACGCTCAGCAGATGGTGCGGCCGCATCATCACAAAAGAAGGAATTCTATGATAAAATCCTCATTATCGCAAGGCACTTGCTTCATTGCGCTATTACTGTCATGATTTACTTCTCTTTATTGTTACAGTGTCCTCCTCCTCCTTCCAAACTAGTTGTATAGCATCCTTAGTTGCTCATCAAATAGTGATGCTATGTGCTTATATACTGAACAAATAACTACAGAAGACAATTACCTTGCACATGCAAAACTATTTTCATCCATATTTCGATCATGGCTGTGTCCTTTTACAAATCCTTTATTCTTCCCCCTCTCACAACTAAAATATATTTCACTTTTTTTTCCCTCTCATCTTCCAGAAAAGTGTTCTCAATAATAAAGATCAGTACTCAAGGTGTAGGAAAAAAATTAGCCAGCAGCCATGGGAAATGCAACAATGACATTTATTGGAATTTCTCCAGGCATTACATGAAAAATTTGATAGGTGAAACAGAGGATAAAGCACATTCTGTGTATCTTTAAAAAAAAAAAAAAAATCTGGATAACCTTAATTCTTTGTAATACACTCTACTGCAGTTCCCCAGGATTGGTTTAGTATGTACATATCAGATAAAACTTACTTTGAACAAAACTGAAGAGAACTGCCTTTTCACTTGGCATTTTTCCACCTGGTACAATATAACATTATTGAAATATCTAGACAGAGTCCACATAGGGTTTATACACAGTGTTAAGACCTTGCACCCCAACTGTAATAAGAAAGACTGTTAAGTAAATTAATATTTTAATCAAAAAAAAACTCCATGGAAGTAAAAAACAACAACAGAAATCAAGAAGCCCCAAACCCCCTTCGCTTCACAGCAGTGTGCAGCAAATCAGCATGGCTGTTCCTCAGTTTTCCTTATGTCAATGTAACACTTGGAAAGCAAATGCTTCCTAATGGGACAATCTTAGGCATAAAGACACTGCTGGATTTGGCACTTTGCTTAATTGTTTTTCTTGCTGAAAAGAATAAGTGTTTCCTGAAATACAGTATAAACGGTAAGAGATAACATGAGCCACTGTGACACTCCATTTAACAGTTCAGACATGCATCCCAAAATACGGGTCTATCACACAACCACCTAACTTCTTTGAAATTTCTGCTTGAAAACGTTTCCAAATCTATATGCATCTTATCCTGCTCCTATAAACATATTTGCTGTCTTGAAATGACCAGAGCTTACCTTGCCCTCTCCCCAGAACACAAAATTCATGATTTGGTTCTAAAAAGACCATCACAAAGCAGTATTAAAACAGGCTGAAAAGCATGAAACTGCTCCTCTGCTTCAGAATCCTCCTTGAAATGGATATCCACGAGAAAGGTGGAAGCCGAAAGGTCCGTGACCCTCGAGACTTGCTTGGTCCTCGCCGGTGCACGTCTGCAGTCCTTCCTGCAACCTGCCTCGATGCCCTTTGCAGGTGAAATCCCAAGGCAGCCCTGTGGCTCCTGCCACCACATCACAAGGCTTCTTGCAAGGTTTCTTTGGTTAAATGAGAACCTATCTATAATCACAGCAAGCCACCTGGAGAAAATCAACACCAGAATAAACACCACCCCACAGCCTGCTTTCCCTCCACCGACCACCCCTGACAAAGAGAGCAGGGCAGGTGGAGGCAGCGGGGCCAGGAAGGCACCAACAGCCACAGCTCCCTCTTGCATTTAGCAGTTCTGCACATACGTGTGTAGACATGCATTTAAGCCCAAATTAAGTGCTAGGCCGAGCTGTGACTCGATGCTCGCTCTTCGCTTCCAACATGTATGAGGAATTAGGTTGCTGAGCGGGACATCCCGGGCAGCGTATGGCACTGAAGTCCCCAGCACGAGCCAGGAGCGATACCGAACTCTGTGGTTTGCAGGACTGGTGCAGGGACACAACGTCAGGAGAGCTCAACGACAGGCACGCACGAGTCCACCTAGGCTGTCCACAGATGATGTGAAACGTGCTGCTCTTTGGAGGAAAATTACATTCTTGGGTTGTTTTTCTTCTTTTTTTCAAGTATTCAGCGTATATATAAAATGTCTTATCCTCCTTTTGCTACAGGACAAGCACACCCCAAGTGAAATCACAGTTCACCATTATCTTACCTTTGACTACCGGTATGTATTTTTTTCCTCCCCTTTAGGTCAACTCTAAATATACATCTATTCATCATAATTACATGTGAGGATTCTTTACTTCTCCCTTTGTGATTTATTTACACAACCATTAAAAAAAAAAAAGAAAAAAAAAAGCTTGAATTTGCATACTGAGATTTGAAGGCCTGTCTGTAGCTATGAGTGTCCCAGCACGAGTTGTAGATAATATCGTTGCCTATTGCTTTCTAAGTTCACTGAAAGCAGCATGCTCATCTATTCTTTCCCTTAATATTTGAAGCTATGCTGCTTGGAAAAACCTGATTTATGGCTTATTTCCTTATTTTGTTTTATTATTTGGATTATAGTTTACTTCCTTCAGGAGCAGTTCACAGTCAGACAATGCTTCTGTTGGCAAATGCTTCATTATCTGCTCAAGAGTCTTTTGATACGTTATCTTCTCCTGTTCCAGGGACTGAATCACAGTCTTCATTTTGTTCTCTCGAGTCAAAATAGTCTCCAGGCTGGATTCCAGGCTCTGAATTTTAGCATGAGCAACCTATAAACAACAACATTAGCTGTATATTACATTGAGATATTCTGATTTTTATTATTATTTGGTTAGGACACAATATAGCTGCTTCTTGTAAAAGACATCTGTGAAGGCAGATGATGTAACGAGCACCTACTGTGCATCACTCAGATAATCTCCTCACACACAAGGCAACTTGGAACACAGCTGACATCCCCTCTGAGATGGGCTCTCTACTTCTTGGCTTTCCTTTTCGTGTAGTGGCCAGATTAATCTGAAGGATCCTGGAAAGTGTTACAGAGGGAATGGGATGTGCAAGTGGCAGCGAGCAAAAAACAGCACAGGAAGGGGCGATTTGCCCAAGTGTGACAAAGCAAGGGAAAACCTACGGGAAAAGCAAAGCGCAGGATGGAGAGGTGAGAGTGGGAAAACAGGCCTAAATAGCTCAGTCGAGTTCAGAGTTCCCCTCTCTCCAGCAAAAGACCTGCAGCCTCCTCCAGAATAGAGACTGAGCAGTAATCAGAAACCTTGGACCTCAGCAGTGGCAAATCCCTCCCTGAGGGAAGTGGAGAAACTATTACTAGAAATGGGCAAGAAGGCCATACAAACCAAAAGATGAAGTGGCTAAGATACAACTAAGGAAGATACAGCAGCCTGGGAGAACAGAAAAGCTTTCACGGACCCTTTTGAATCATTCAAAATATTTCCATGCCCTTCCCATAGCTTCAGAAGAGCGACAGAAGTCCAGCTAGTAACCCAAGTCATTCCCACTCTCCCTAATGCCACAAAAGCAGAGCTCCTGGAGCCTGCCCATGAACATCAAAATAATGAAGGCATGATATAACTTTTTTTTCCTTCCATTTTCAGGTTTCAGAAGCTGAAGATGCTCTCCAGGATCTTCTCAACAATGGTCAAAATCTCCAAGTAAATATAAAAATGGCCTGGTGACGCTTTTTTTTTTTTCTGGAAAATGCAGTACAATACATACAGGGAAACATGAAACAAGTCCTGGCTATGAGAAAAAGAGTAAAAGGAGAAAGAAAAGCTTCAAAAAAAAACCCCAAAAGTAGCCTGACCAAATCAGACAATGTGATGGGCACCCAGCTGTATTCAAGACTGCTAAGAGAGACCATATTTCAAAACAGAATATGATTACAAGCTTCCACAGAAGGGAGCAAAAATCTTTCTACACAGGTATGTAGGAAGCAAGACTATCATAGCTTATTTCTTAAAAATTTCCAACAGAGAAACAAGGTGATAAGGTGATAAAGGGCCAGAGGACTGACTTGTAAGCCAGATATACAAAACTTAGCCAATCGACTGTTTTGGGAGTTAAGCCTAGAGATATTTTGAGAAAATATACATCTAAAGCAAGAAGAAATAGTACAAGAAATGACAAAAGGGTTAAATATATGCCTAACATAGAAACAAATTATTGTCATAGAGAGAAATGCCCAGCTGCATAAAACGTTGCAGTGAGGACACCTTTCATACCCAGTCCTGCTGGCTGCAGCCTAGACAAAGCCCCTCCACAAGTGAGTGATCTTTAGTCACTTACCTGCAACTTCTCCAGCAAATCCATGTTTTGTCTCTTCAGGTGGCTGTTGGCCCTCTCCAGCTTCTCCAGAGATTCACCTTCATCACAGGGACTCACATTTTCCTGGAGTTCATCCTGCAGGACGTGGTACTCTACTTCATAGGCATGGAGCTGTTTTGATATATCCATCTCAAATACCTGTCAAAATACACACACACACACACACACACAAAAATTACCTGCATAAGAAAAATTTCATATGAAAGCTCAAAGGAAAACTCCACTTGATGAAGATCTTTTTTTTTCTTTCTTGTTTCTGTTAATAAAGCATTTTATGTGCAAGTCTGCAGTAAAAGCATTTTAGCACATAGTATTCTTAATTGTAGCCAAAAATTGTCACAGATTTTACGATAAACTGTACCACCAGTTTTACAACTGCCATATCTCTCTAATGATAATGATAGATAATGATCCCTCTAATAGATGCCATGATAATGATATATCAACAGAAAAGTCTTATCTCATCCAAGAATAATCAGACCAAGTCTTATTATATATAAAGAAGTCTTAAAAAAGAAAAAAAAAAAAAAAGGTTTAAATTAAGTTCTCACCAGCTTCTGATGGGAGCAGTCTCATAGTGAGGACTAATAACTCAGGAATGAGAAACCACCGCCCTCAGATTAGCATCTCTTGACTGCAAGTCCCCATTTATAAGCTTTTTGGAACACTGTACTGGCATAGCTTCTCTATGCTCCCTCTCTGGCATGAAAACATACTACTTTCCTACTGATAAATCCTTAATTATCTTTAATAAAGCCTACAACGTGCTCAGTCCTGCAGTGATGAAGCTGTATCCACACAGAGATCCTGCATTTGTATCTGTAGATCTACATCTGTATATAGAGACCCTTATCTGTGTATAGATCTGCTCTCAGCCTCCAAACAGTTGCCAAAAAGTTTGGACAACTAAGGGAAGGAAGCCGACAGCGATGTTAATTCGACTTCTTACTCTAGAAATCACAAACAAATCAGTAGATGAAGACACAACATAAATTCTGCTTTATTTTCACTGTTCTTCAGGTAACTTGGATTGGACATAGAAATTTAAACCTTATAATGTGTCCAAGCCACCCAGCCACATGCACCTTCACTCAGGTGACCAAACCCACCCTTTAGTCAACCAGGTTCTGTCCCCTTCAGCCCACCACGGTTGATCTGCAGTTCCCACAGACCACAGGACAGGGATTTAACTTAGAATTACCTCATAAAAAGCAAATTACTATCTAGAATTACCTCATAAAAAGCGAATTACTATCTATGTCACTGTGAGAATTGGTGAGTTGTTTGTCACATATCTGAAGTGCCTGTGAAGAGGCACATGTTCATCAGGGCTGTCACAGTTGATGCAGGGAGGAGTTACCAACTTCCACCTCAGGAAGGTGCTTCCAAAAGCTGTCTGAAAGGACTGTTAAATGTCAGCCCTTAAATGTTCAGGGCGTGAACAGCATGAACCAAGGCCCTGCATTCGCTGGACATCTTGTGTTAGCTCTGGCTCTTCCCACCGTGGGGAGTTTTGCTCCCTACCCACTAACCACCACCATGAGCAAGGCCTAGTCTTGTAGGCCATTTTCACCCTGCCGACGATGATGTGAGGCTTACAAGCAAAGTCACGACTTTCCAACAGCTGGGCAGAAAATAAATCTTAGAAATATCTTCTCTATTAACAGTGAACTAAATTCCTGATAGAGCATGCTTTAATTTCAGTGGCTTTTGAACTGAATATTTTTATTGTATATTGTATTGAATTGTATATTTTTTATACAAGTTACTGTGAAGATGACTCCTTCGCATTTCACATCTCAGCAACTGGGAAGGGAACGTACGGGGAGGACCTTTAAAACTCACCATAGGCATAACCCCTTAAAAAGAAACTAAATGAATAAAATACAATACAATAAATCAGCAAAGCCAACCTTACCTGCGTAATAATTTTTTCCATCTGAGGCTGGGTCATGTCTGGAATAGTGCTTTTAAGAAAATCAACAATATTCTCAAAACTCTCACACTCCATTATAGATGTTTCTTGGCTGCTAAGTAGGCTCAGTGCTACTTTAAATATGACTTCTGTTCCTTGAAGAAAAATAATGTCTAAAAAAGAAAAACAATAGAACACCTTGAAAACAAGGCCTAAAGTAATTCAATAAATATATATTTGCTGGGATGCCTTTATTCTTTGTAAGCTAACATATGGCAGATTCATTCAGTTCGTAAGGGCAATAGATCTTTCTTCAGCCCCCCTGCTCTTGGTCACACTGCCACCAAGCCATCCCTGGCCCTAAATATACGCATTTTATGCACACACGCACACAGACACTATAAAGTGTGTATTTTAAGTATATGACTTGATATTGGTGGCCTATTGGCCACTCTCAGATGGCCTCTTTGTAGATGCCAGTGGCCTCTTAGTGGCATGTGAGAAGCCCACAAGGCAACTGGAGAAGCAGGAATACAAAGCACTAGGTTCTGAGACGCTCTTTTAACTTTGCTGTTTTAAAATGAACACATACCTTGCTCTGGTCATTTAGAAAGAAATAAAAACTAACCCTCTCACCCTCAAAACTGAATTCTGCAAGCCAAAGCTCACTGAGGCAAGAAATAAAGCCAAAAAGGTAAGAGAGGTGCTTTAGCCCTCAGGGGAGAGGGGAGGGGAGACACAAAGGGCAAAGCCCCAAACAGGCGCAGAACTCAAGAATCCCACTGAAAAACGGACTCAGAAATCATATGGTCATGCAAAGCAATCAAAAAAATGTTTTATGTAAAAGGAAAAGGAAAAACACTGCAATGGGAAAAAACTCTAGGTGTGAGGGGGAAAAAAAAGCGCCTTCAGTAATAAAACATACAATAAATGTCAGTCTGAATTTCTTACAAAAATGCAAGTGCTTTACACAAACAGACAAGTAAGTGGAAAAAAACCACATTCAGTTTGAGAGAAAGTATACAATATATGCTCACACTTTCCAGATGCATGCCTGAGTGTTGTGGGGTCTGACTACCCTCACAAGCAAGTGCTGCCTTTGTAGTGATTTAAGCTTGCAGTTTTTATTCACAATAAGACACACAAAACTAAGCAATTGTCATCAGGATATGGCAAATACTACAAGGTACAATAGTGCTATTCAAAGTTCTTTACTATGGTTAAGCTTCTGTACTAGATGTTATCTGAAGAGAATAAACAGTAAAGAAAATTATTTGAATAGAATATGAAGCAGGTACCCAAATACGTGAGACAGCCTGCAAGTACAAGTTTACTTGAGCTTCTGTTAGGGAAAAATAATATTCTAATTTCTTGAAAAACAGCACATTCTACTATTCAGAGGGACTTAGACGGATTGCAGAGTCGGGCAGAGAGGAACCTCATGAGGTTCAACAAGGACAAGTGCAGGGTCCTGTACCTGGGCAGGAACAACCCCAGGCATCAGTACAGATTAGGGGCTGACCTGCTGGAAAGCAGGGAGTCCTGGTGGACACCAAGTTAACCATGAGTCAGCAGTGTGCCCTCGTGGCCAAGAAGGCCAATGGGATCCTGGCTGCATCAGGAGGATGTCGCCAGCAGGTCAAGGGAGGGGATCCTGCCCCTCTGCTCAGCTCTGGTGAGGTCACACATGGAGTATTGGAGGCAGTTCTGGACTCTCCAGAACAAAAGAGATGTGGAGAGGGTCCAGCGGAGAGTGACAGAGATGATTAAGGGAGAGGAGCATCTCTCGTATGAGGAGAGACTGAGCAAGCTGGACCTGTTTAGCCTGGAGAAGGTTGAGAGGGGATCAGATCAATATGTCTGTACATGAACGAGAAATGTAGGAAGGGGCCAAGCTCTTCTCATTGGTGGCCAGTGACAGGACAAGGTACAATGGGTGTAAGTTGCAACACAGGCAGTTCCATCTGCATGTGAGGAAGAACTTCTTCACTGTGAGGGTGACAGAGTCCTGGCACAGGCTGCCCAGGGAGTTTGTGGAGTTTCCTTCTCTGGAGGTCTTCCAAACCTGCCTGAATGCTGCCCTGTGCTCTGGGTGTCCTTATTGGAGCAGGGGGGTTGGACTAGATCATCTCTAGAGGTCCCTTCTAACCTCAACCATTCTGTGTGACTCTGTGATTCCCACCTCCTTCTCCCCACGATGTTAGTTTAATTTCCAAGTTCAACAAGATGAAATTGTCTACTGGAATAGACTGAATGTTTGAGGTGTTAAATACATTTGTGACAGCTTCTGCTGTTCACACCCAGAGGTCTAATCTTGGCTAATAGCAGGCACACTTAATTGCTCAAATTCAATGCTTCAAAGCTTCAATACTTCATTGTTTCCCTGCCTTCTTCTCTAAAATGGAGCTGACATCCCGCCCTAAGGGGTGGTTCTATTTGCCACTCACAACAGGCCTCTGAAACAGCACCAGGATGCAGAAAACCAATCCTGCAGAGTTTGAAAAGAGAGTAGACAAGATTGTTCTGCTCATTACTGCTATAAAGTGGTCTTTCTTACCAAACACTCTGGCCACAAATCCTAATGGAAACTGAGATGCAAACAGCGTAAGGAACCACGGTGCAGCATAGAGGCTGGGACTGATTTCATTCTCTTCTAGATGATTATAGAGGTCTCTGTGATAATCATGAAGAAGCCTTGACAGCTGATACATCTGAATCTGCAATGCATTGCGGAGAGGGGAAAGGAGAAAGAAAAGTTCAGCTTGAGTCAATTTTCCAAACCATGCACATTTCACTCCAGGGAAATTAACTTCACTACAGAAGGAAGCTTAATTGCTGGCTCAGGCCTCGGGCGTTATCTACCCCATACAAACATCCCACCTCTAATGAATTAAAACCACCACACTAGAGAATAATAAAAAAACAGTCTGAATCTAATCATTGATTAATGAAGTATTCTTTCTAAAGATTCATAGATTTAAGACAAGAAGGGATTACATTGATTTAACCTGGCCAACAAACCAGAATGTAGTCCTGCAGCAATGAAAGCAAAAGCACCCAAGTAACACAACACCTTCAGGACACCAAAATTCTCAGCTACAGAGCTGAACTACTCTTGGCCAAGTTTACACACTTCAGCTTTCACCTTGTGAGTCTTGACTCTGTTTCTGCTGTGTTTAAGACTCTTCTGTTGTAACCATCTCTTCAGACTAGTGAGCATGCACGTGCTGCATCAGCTGCAGGGGGTTGCCAGGGGGTATAGCACATATATGCACTTCCCAGCACACGTCCCTCATGCCAGCAGGCTGTGGCAATTCAAGATACCGATGCACTAAGTGCTGCTACACAACGTGTCAAAGGTTGCAAAGCAAAGTGGTGACAAGTTGATATTAATTGCTAAAAATACTATTCTATGGCAAGTTATTCCCTTGTAATTTTGACGGTTTACACTTCACAATAAGTCACACAGTGACATTTCCCTCAGAAAACAGAAACTGAGAAGCAAGAATATATTGATTATCTGCCAGGCCCAATTTTGCTGCCAATGCTGTCTTACAAACATGAATTCCTTCCTCAATGATAAAATGACTTCCAGAATCTAGTTACCTTCCTACTTCTAGAAGTCATGATTTTTCCCTACCATGGGTTGATAGTACTGGAAACTATTCATCTATCCACAGCATTTATCTGATGTTGTTATAACCCACATTTGCATGGGAAACCAGAACAAGGCCACAGAGGCATAAACCAATTATTGGATGAGTTTATCAAACCAGTTATTGCACTGGTTCATTACAATCTGCATCATTACTTTTTTCCCCCATACAACTTGGCATTAACAAAGGTTAAAAAGTTTTCTTTATCCTAAATAAATATCCACACTGTTCTTCTGTAGGAGAGAAGTTAATTCGGTGTATGGGATGACTCATGCTTTGATGCCCTAAGTACGAGGACTTTACAAATGCTCTAATCCTGTTACAGAAACAAAACAAAGGATTTTTGCTTTAACCAGATCTACTATCTACATCATAAACAGCCAAGCCTGTCTTCTGCAGGCAAAACTTGTGCTGTTGTCTAGGAGCCAACTATGGGGGAAGGGGGGTCACCTCACTGAAAGGGCAGCCAGTGCAACAAGTGGTAAACCTTCACAAACACCCCAAGTGCCACTTGCCTCCTACGGAATGTTTCTGAATCATTTAAGTCACAGCGGGGAAACGCTGAATATCTGAACGCCCTGGAAGTGCCATCAATTACTGAAAGGGTGTGCAGATGCAGTATAACATGCAAATGCACAGCTTCTTGAGAAAAAACAAACAAACAAAACACATACGCAAATGTACATTTATTATACTTCTATCACCACTGGTTCAGAGGTTTTTTATGGCCTTTCACCTTAAATTCCTCATAACAAAACAGTCATGGCATAGCTAAATAACTAGTCTGTAGTGAAATAGTCCTCTTAACCATTTTGAAAAGCACTACACACAATCTCTTTAACTAAAATTTGTTCTGCTATGCTGGACAATTGCCAAATAAGTACCTAAGTTACTGGTCAAGCAAAGTAGATTGAGTATTCACCATTTTATTTTTTTTCTTTTTACATAATTCCAAGTGTTTGCTTCATAAGGAGCCTAACAAAAATGTGACTTTTGTATCTACTTCTTAGTATTCTCCTTCTGCACTGTGAATTACAAGCCTCAGACCAGCAGTGGTCTGTATATCCCTTTATAACATTAGGGGCATAGAGCATACAGATGCAGCAGTAGACAGCTGCATCTCAAGATACAAAGCCCCTCAAATCTGAAACCCCAAATTTAGGCCAGTTTGAGAGATTTTCTGCTTCTCTCCTAGGAGGCCCCTACTATGCATAGCTACAGCATGTATTCAAGGGCTAATATTGGTCATTTAAAACAGAGGTGCCAAGCAGAAATGCCCTGTGGCATGCACTGGCCGGCCACTGGGTGACACTATGGAGTTGACTTGAAGTTACTGAACAAAAGATTTGAAAAATCTGCCACATCTAAGTGCTTACAGGATGAATAAAAACAAAAACAAACTTATTTTTAAACACTGCCTATCCAGATGCGAGCAGATAGTTTTCTTTGAAATAAGGAAGAGAGAATAGCAAGGAAGAGAAAAGGAAGAGCAAAACAGCAGAGAAAGCAGAGTTTCCAAACTGAAGATCATGGGGACGTGTGACAGGAAAGTCTGCAATTTCTAAACTTCTTTAATTTGCTTGTCAAACCCCTCTGTAGCTCTGAACTTGCAAAAGAGCTTGTGCCTACATCACAAGGTACAAAATAGCACCAGAAACGTCTTAAGCCCCCGAGACATGTGAGCAACCCCCAGGAGCTTAAAATCTCATTTAAAACTGTGGGGTTGCATCAGCAGGCTGACTTACCTGCAGCGACATCATGTCTGGCCTGTACTGCTTGCGGAAGCCCAGGTCATACATGAGGAATTTGAGCATCTCAAAGGCTTGCTCCTCGCTCATGTGCAGCAGCAGCACTCCGGCCACGAAGCTGATGCCTTGGCAATAGCCCACTTCCTTGTCCAGCAGAGAATAGGCTTTCAGGAGGTTGAAGAGCGAGAGCTGTCCCGCTCCCAGCTGGGCAGAGAAGTAAGGATGGGTAGGGAAGGTCCGTCCTTGGGTAAGGAGAGAGCAGTGAATATCTAGACCTCCTCAGAAGAGGCCTAGACAACCTCTAGGTTGTTTCCTTACCTCCCCAGACAACCAGGCTCTCTTTCATACACCTTTCAATACACAGGTTGCCTTTAGTCCAACCACACACCAGTTCAGAGGACAGCAAGTGGCAAAGACAGAACATATCCTCCCTACACCCTCCCTGTATGTTGATACAGCAGTACCTGGCTCCACCTTTCCACTCGGAGACATGGAAAAGGGGCTGGGAAAGGCCCTCAGCCTCAGACCCACCTAGGTCCACGAGGATGGCGTGCTGTTGAGCTGTCAGCTGCTTCAGCAGTTCTTTGTAGGAGACGTCAGGAGGCTGCTGTTTGTTGGGCAGTCTGTGTCTCACCCGATGCTGCACAGCCAGAAACTGCCAGATTTCTCCCCGACGACTTTTGGGTACACCTGCAGGGCAGGCAGAAAACAACAGGTCTAAGTAGGGGTGTATTTTCACAACAACAACACACAAGAACTTGCTTTGTGAAGCCCCTTGCACGCCTGTCACAATTTGGCATAATCAGCCCGGTTATTAGCTACAAACTTAGCATAATTAAACTATGCAATACCCTGCACAGCAGAGATGTCAGCACTATTTGTTTTGCCACCTCTAAACTTCTAGCCTTCAAATGACACATAGAATCATAGAGTCTTTAAGGTTGGAAGGGACCTCTAGAGATCATCTAGTCCAACCCCCTGCTCCAGCAGGGACACCCAGGCCACAGGGCGGCATCCAGGTGGATTGGGAAGATCTCCAGAGAAGGAGATTCCACAGCTTCCCTGGGCAGCATGTTCCAGGGCTCTGGCACCCTCACTCTTAAGAAGTTCTTCCTCAAGTTTCTGTGGAACTTTTGGTGCCTCAATTTGTGGCCATCTCCTCTAATCCTATCAGCGGCCACTTGACTATAGGCAGAGTGCAGAATTCACAGGTGTAAAAATATAGGGAGGGCCCCTTCATTTTCCCCTTCTTGCAAGACTACCGACATGGAGAGCGATATACAGAATAAAAACCACTCAATTCAAAGCTCCGTACCCCACAGGAAGGGCACACAGTCACTCATACTGAAACAAAGCACTTCTTTCTAGTCATCCAAGCACTTGTGAAAGTATCGTCTAGATAAAATACTTTTGTTGAACTTTCATGCACAGTCTCCCCCTTCAATATCCGACTCCCTAAATTGATTTTAGAAACCCAACAGAAGCTGCCGACTCTCCTAATAAATAATAAATTGCAAAGAGACGTAACAAGAGCCCAAGTTGGCAAAAGCATCTCCTTGCTCCCGGTGCCAAATGGCAGCCTGGCAGAAGACAGAGCAGCAAGGTAAGGAGCTTGCTGGCATTCTCCTGCAGCTCCCTAACGGGAACCACCGAACTCTTCCATGTGTTCTTCTGGTAACATTTTAAACTTTCCTACTGTGCCACAGCTGGACTACACTGATATGTTACCATTTTTCAGCACCCGTAGGTACAGGTCAGGAGATTTTCACAAGGAGGGCAAAGAAGGGCAAGCAGAACATACATCCACATCATGCTAACAAGGCCCTTCAGCTGCCCTTCCTATGGCTAGGCCACAGGAAGATCTGCTTCCAGACAAAATGTCCTGGCCTTCCCCTCACAGAAGGAAAGTAGTCAAGAATCAGAGCCTGGACTCAGCAACTTGCAGCACTTTTGATTCTCCAAACCATGTCTGAGACTCCTCCATGCATTCAGATTTAGTCCATGCTGTACACTGTGGCCCTGTCTATTCAGTGAGCAGGTAAGCCAGAGGGCCTTAAATTCACAGTAAAAGGGATCTCCACAGAGCGGGGACCAGAAAGTCATGATTTTAGCTGCAGAACCTCCTAGCTCAGCCCTCAATGCAACAGACAAGGGATAACACGTTACTTGGAGGAGTCAACCACCAGCTACGTTTCTACCTCAGTCACTGCAATTTTTGGACACAGCAAAATCTATTTGCTATTTGGCACTAGGAAACACATTCACGTACAAAGAAAAGGGCAATTTCTTAGTGATTTTGTGCAACTGGAAAAATACATCCTACCAGCTGATTTTCCTCAATATCAACAGACAGCAGAGAACGTTGAGATTTCCATAGTTAAAAAGGCATTCCACATAAATACCATCTTTCAGCGTGGCATGAATATCTTCCATGTCGCATCGGATTTTGGCTCTGCAGTTGAGTAACTTCTTATCCCAAACACCGATGACGTCCTTCTGGCACGTACCAACTTCGTCATAGTCCAGCTTGACTTTCCTTGACTGGAGCTCATCTCTGCTTGCTAGAGCACAGAAAATAAGGGAAGGAAACTAAAACACTGGGGAATTACAAGAGACATCAGGCATGCAAAGAACAATCATGTCAAACATCTCTAGTTGGCTGAGAAGCCAACTCGACTCATGCTACATCAGTGCAGTTACTACAGTTGATAGCTGGGATGGGCTCAGTCTTCTGTCCTAAGATGCTGCAGGCAGCAATTTAACGTGTATTGCTGAGCCATGAGCACTGGGAATTCAAGAAGCACATGAGAACTTTCTTTTTAAAGCTTGGGGCGAGAAGAAAAAATGGCTCTATGAGGTAACTCCACCAAATCTGCTGTTTCTTTCAACTGCAAGAGCACACCTCGGACAATTTTTCCCTCGTTTATCCTGAATTGTAAAGGCTTTAATATGGAAAGTTCCAAACATATACATGCTTGCACTGGATATTTTAGCAAGCAATCTAGGCAAGTTTTGTAAAAATCACAGTCTGTGTGACAAGTGTTCTTTTGGATGTCCCTTAAGAGCAAGGGCTGTTAGCAGAGCTACTTGGCCTCCTCAGGCAGACTAGCAGTACACAAAATAGCAGTAAATGAAATATCCAAAGTGAAATATCCAAAAAGGAACCTCTGTGCTTAGCACGGAGCACATGTTGATGAACACTTCAGAGGTCTGCTGAATAAAACTACCTGAGGCAAGAAATTTATTTCAGAGGACACACAATTTCTGAATGAAGCAGAACTCTAAAATTTCATGGAGGAGCACCTTTCATTCCTATTACTGAGAAAGGAGCTGTGGTAGCTATCTTATTATGCATGATATGCACACAGTAGAACATTTCTCATAATATCAGAAGTATGAAAACTAGAATCAAGAGAGGAATGTGTCTTAATTGACCAACCAGTATTAGGCCTATCTCTGTTAGAATTTTGTGTTTCACAGTACAGTCTTTGCAAGCTGCAACCGAGTTAATCTCCCATTTGCCAGGATCTCCCATTTGCCATGGGAAAACTCCCTGCACTCTTATACTATTTTTAAGTGGCCTGCAGCACTTTACAGCCATTATATTTCTAGGTGATCTACTGTAACAAGGAGCTTTTAGCTGCTCAGAGATGGATTAAGCAAGGTGTATGTAACTCACAAAACTTACCTTCTGTAAAACAAAGAGCTAATAGAATTCAAGTCTCCTCGACAGCAAGAGGAACAGAAAAAAAAAGATTCTATTAATATTTTATAAATAAAACCAACGAAAGACTAACAGAAAACCACTGGAAACCATTCATAGCAATTCTAGTCTTAAATCCATCATGAACAAGCAAACAAATACACACCTAGGAATGAAGTTTCAAGAAAAGCCTTCAGCTGTTTCTGTTTTCACAGGGGCCTTTCCTGAGGGCTGTGCTTAACTGCAGGTTGGGACACCAGCCACTGCCTGAAGCCAAGCACCCAGCAGCACCAGCTCCAAAGATGTGCTGTCCTTACACAGCCCCAGGCTGGCACTTCAACAGCCCGCGGGGAGGAAGCCCAGAGACAGATGCTAAGGTTCACTTCTCATCTTTAGAAAACAGGATGATAAATTCTCACAGAATCACAGAGTCACAGAACGGCTGAGGTTGGAAGGGACCTCTAGAGACCATCTAGTGCAACCCCACCACCCCAGCAGGGACACCCAGAGCACGGGGCACAGGGCGGCATCCAGGCAGGTTTTGAAGACCTCCAGAGGAGGAGACTCCATAACCAAATTCTGCTCAACAAGGGCAGATTAAGACAGCACCCGTTCAACAGCTTAGCTCAAGATCCTGCGTGGGAGAATGCAGATCTTCTTCTGGGAGGGCTGGTAAAGATATGGACTAGTAGATGAAAACCATGACTGGCAACTCTGAGTCTCCACTGCTGACACACTTGCTTTCATTATAAGCAACTAGGCAAGCTAAAAATTTTCTTCAAATCAGTTACAGAGGTAAAAGAGTTTCCAGCTGAGGAACTGGAAAGACTATCTGCTTTCAGTACTGCCAGCTACATGCGGGTGGGAAGTGTAGAAAAGTCTGCCCCTCAACAGCTCATATTCTGACCTGACAGCCTCCCCACCTCGCAGTACAGACGACCATTTGCTAAAACAATAAACCAGAATTTGGGCTGAAGCTAAAGGCATCTAGATGTTCCCAATTAATCTCTGATATTTCCATGGAAGTGTGTCTTAACATGAAGACACGAAAGAAATAACAGAGTAACACGCTAACATGTAGCAAGTACATCCAAGGACATATGCATAAGGGACACCAAAGACACATCATGCTATTTCTCCTTCCTTCCTCTGCCTTCTCAGTAAGGATCAGCAAAGAAAGGGTGAAACAAGCTTTGTAAGGCCGTAACACTTTGTTGAAGAATCAGACTACCATATAATGTGGTTATACACCACAGAGGAGAAGATAGGGGCAGCATTTAGGGAAAAAATGCATTTAAAATTTTAAACTTGCACTGAAAGTCATTCATCTACCATACTCAAAAACTTACACACTGACGGATATTACATCCAGTCTTTCATTTGTATGAGTCATGACTAGCCATACCAAAATGGCTAAATGGCAATGGCTTAGTCCAAAGTTCTGATAGCTGGCAAGCATCTGAGGTTGGCCAGGTATAAATAAATATTTACATTTATTTATATTTTGATGTGATTAATGAGGGACCAAGGAAGAAGCCTAGTTAAAGTCACCATAGGCTTTTTACAACGTCTGATATTTGAGTAATTTCTGACTGGGCTGCAACGACTTGAAAAGAAACACAGAGGGTAGGGTCCTCTTTTCTTAAATGTTCACACAGAGCCCATTCTCCTGACTCCACTTTGCATCAGAATGCCTTGATTTAGTCAGCTAAAATACATACGTCCACTGTAGTGGCTTAGGCCTCCTTTAGCTAAGATTACCTTTAATAAAGGGCAATGCAACAAACCAAGCCAGGGCTATGCAGGAAAGGTTGAGGGGGAGGAGGGAAGAGGAAGGAAAGAACGAGAGTATTTGGTAATATTTGTTAGCAGCATTATCAGCAAAGTTTCACAGCCTGAGTTTGAGGTTCCCAACACCAGCACAGTTTCCAGTGTCTGAGAGCAGAATTCATAAAGGCTTTCATGGGGAATTTGCAAACAGCTAACCTTCCAGCTTCTGGTTCTCTTTCTCCATGCGAAGCAACAGGATTTGTTGATGAATGGCTTTTCTCCAGAGACTCTGCAGTTCCTCCGAGTTCCTCCTCTCTGCAGCATTATCCGGGGCCTCCTCGTTTTGCATTACCAGAAGGAGAGGGTCCTCCTCCAGCGGCGGAGCGAGAGGCGATAACGGCAGCAGCTCCCTTCCCTCGTGACCATCTGCAAAGAACCAAAGAGCTCTTACAGGAAACAGGCTGTTTGACACCTCACAAACCTCTGTGCTACAGCAAAATGGAAACATCCTTCAGCAGCCAGGCACAGAGGGCACAGCTCAACAGGGGAGGTTGTTTTCTTAAAGCATTAGGGTCACTCCGTATTTTAACATTGTCCTCAGCTAACTTCTTAATTACAAAAAAGCACTTATCCATAGTCTCCTGTGCAGTTGCACTTGTTTTCTGAGGAGGTTTATCACAGGATTTATCACAAAAAGCAACTTAGCAACTTTCACCACCTGCTAAGTTGCAGCATAGGGAGAACGTGGCCACTGAAAGGTTGGCCATCAATCCAGGGCTGGCAGCTCTACTAGTTGCATTGCATCCACTATGTCATGATTTCAGATACTTCAGAGGTTTCCTGCTTATTGGGCCTAAAGCTGTAAGAGTTACTAACCCCCTCAAAAACGCACTTCTGCACCAAGGAAAAGGCAGAGAAATGACCCTGACTGCTGCAAACACTGCTATTACATAAGCAGGCCACAGTGAAAAATTGCTATCTGGTAAAGAGGATATTTTTGTTAGCAAAAGGCAATTTTTAGTTTCTTTGCTATCAGCAGAGCCACAGCAGAGTGCAATCCATTTGATTTTGATGACTGAATCATCTGTTTAAAGCAGCAGAGAGCCAAAGCCAACTGATCCGAACACACCTAACAGGAGTCTTTAGCAAGAATATCAAATATATACGTAGACACGACTCCCTTTCTCCTGAATTTTGACATCTGCACTTGCCGCAATCCATTTCAGTAACGACCAGCAGAGTAACGCCTGCTTATTTTCTTTAAGAAGCCCCCACCGACCTGGGTGCTGCATCCTGGCGGGCGACTTGTTCACGGGCGAAGCGACGCGCAGGAATATCCTCTGGCGCCAGGAGACGCGGCGCGGCGCAAGCGCGGCCCCGGCCGCGTTCAGGGCCTCGCTGCCGCACGCCGGCGCCGTCCTCTTCTTGCCCTCCCCATCACTGGCGCAAAGAGAAAGCAAACGGGGTGATCAAAACAAGCCCGCCTCGCGGGCGGGAAAAACACATCCTTATTAAACATGGCTGCTGTGCAATGAGGCCTGCTGGAAAGCTCTGGAAGGCAGCGAGTGCTGTGGCGCAAGGCTCACCTTGAGCACAGGAGTGACCAGCTACCTTCATGTGAGGCAGAGCTGTGAAGTTTGCACTACACACTAGCATTCAAAGCTTTCATACGGTGCTCAGCTGGAAGCTCAGCATAAAAGCTAAGCTTTTGTGAGAAGCTAAAAGACTTGTAAGTGCAGGACAAGAGGAGCTATTGTTTAGCCTCTAAAACAGGCAGCAATGGGCTTTGCTTTGCTGTACGTTAGTTTTACAGGAGTGGTCTTACATGCTACCTCTAGCAGCGCGGGCGTTGCTTGACCAGAGCAACTGCTTAATTTGTGGCATTTCGAAGAGGAGGCGGCAGGAGAACATTTCACTGGAGGCAGCGCTGGGGCCTCCCCACGCAGCCTCCGCAACAGAGGCCCAGGCCCTGACACAGGGAGCTCAAGAACTCATCTCCAGCCGCCACGAAGAGGCAAGTCTGCAGAGGGACTGCAGGAGAAGCTTATGTGGTTGGAAGGCTCAAGGAGAGGTTGGACAAGCTCGGGTAGGAAGCTCTATCTGTGCCCCTCTGCTGCTGGCGTGAGGACAGGCCGCTTGCACAGGCGCTCGAGCCGCTTTCCAAGGCGCTCCTGAGCTCCGCATTTGCAGCAGAGACACGGTTCACACAACAGAGCAATAGCCACCCACCCTGGGGGCCACAGGCCCCTCCCTGCAACACCCACACGGCACCTGGAGCAGTTACAAGCTGGTTTTTATGTTTTTTTCTTCCTCCACCGCAGACAAAAGAAACCCCCAAACTGCCTGTGGCGGCGGCAGCAGCGCGAGGCAGCTGGGGAAGACTCCAACCCAGCAAGCCCCAGGCGAGCTTCCACCACAGTCATGGGATTCCTCAGCTGCCACAGACTTCAGGAAGGAACACAAACATTACGTGCCAATCTACCTCACCACAGGCATGCCCTTTTACTTGGAGGTGCCTCTGCTGCATAGGGAGGAGACACACAAAGGGAGGCCCAAAGTATCACCCCATTTATCGTCCTTCTCTACTCAGCCCTGGTAAGGCCACATCTGGAGCACTGTGTCCAGTGCTGGGCTCCCCAGTACAAGAGGGATGTGGAGCTGCTGGAGAGAGTCCAGCGCAGGGCTACCAGGATGATCAGAGGCCTGGAACATCTGCCCTATGAGCAAAGGCTGAGAGAGCTGGGCCTGTTCAGCCTGGAGAAGAGGAGGCTGAGGGGGGACCTGATCAGAGTGTATAAATACCTCAAGGGAGGCAGTGAGGAGGAGGGGGGCAGCCTCTTTTCAGTGGTGGCCAGCGATAGGACTAGAGGAAATGGCCACAAACTGAAGCACCAAAAGTTCCACAGGAATTTAAGGGTGAATTTCTTGGCAGTGAGGGTGTCAGAGCCCTGGCACAGGCTGCCCAGAGAGGTTGTGGAGTCTCCTTCTTTGAAGATCTTCCAAACCCAGTTGGACACAGGTCTGTGCCCTGTGCTCAGGATGTCCCTGCTGGAGCAAGGGGGTTGGAGCAGATCATCTCTATAGGTCCCTTCCAACCTTAAGGGTTCTGTGATCACAGTGGTTTGCAGTACCCACACTGCGGCCAAGTCTCACAGACTAGATGCTTCATCAAAAGTACTAGAGTAGCGTTGCAGTGAAATCCTAGTCCTCTCCTGAAGGTGTTAAGTCATCCACAACTGTATTTCGGCATTCTTGGGAAGTCGGGGGCTTTCCTGCAATGTTTTCTCCCAGTTTGAGAATGAGTTGAGAATGAAACAGGTGCACTTTCAAATGTGTAAAGCCATCAAAGAAACTATGGCTATTTAGCTAAGGGCTTCCTGGGAGGCCAGCATCAAATATAGGGACCTATGTCCCCAGCTCCATCATGCAGAACTACTGCATCAACACAGCTGTACACAACCCTTCATCCCACGAAGAACCTCCATGCTGCAGTGCAGCATCTCTGCAGAGAGTCAGACAGAAGGAAAGCCCAACACAGCGTTAATCAATCTGATTAATTGGTCTGATAACAGATAATCTGAGCTACTCACTATTCCTGATTTAGTTCCTACAGGACAAGGAACAGTCCCTTGCTGCTCTTAGGAGGTGGCTTGAACAGAGCAGCACGTTTTACCAACCAAAACAGTGACAGAAATCCCAACCTTTTTTTGGCTGACTCTTACATATTTTGTGAGGGAAGAAAAAACAGAAACAGAAATCACTGCTTGTGCAAGATAAATTTAGACTGCAAAAATAATTTTGAATTTAGAGCTGCTGTTTTCTAAAGGTAAGTCAGTGCAACCACAGAGTTTGGATGTATTGATCAATATAACTCGTGTTTCTATAAATAACTGTAATGAAGCTACTACTCAATATGTTAGCACATAAAAGCTAAATCCTTCCACAGCTTACAGCTTGTTACGCAGCTGCATAACAAAGGAACGAAAGCTTCATTTCTGTTGCTTTGTACAAAACCCCACATTCAGCTAGAGCATCCCTAAAACATGCAGACATTCCTGGGATGTGGATTCAATTTACAGTCACACAACTTGCAGGAAAGCCAGAATAAGATGGTTATTTTAGTCTATGGAACTAAGCTGTGTAGGTCATTCAAGTCCCAAAATTGACGGTGGGATGAATTAGTCATAGGTGCTACTTTGTGAACTGTATAAAGCAGGGAGTTCTGCAGGCCTCTATTCCTGCTGTTGCACCTACCAAAATTCCCCAGTATTTTGAGCAACCACCGTTAATTACTGCTTCTTTCCAAGTGCTGGCTGGTGAGCGAATATCCTGTTTCAATGTCTTAGGCACAGAGCTTGCCACACTCAGGCAAGGACAACAGTGAAAACTGATTTAAGAAGGGTAAGATAGAAAGAGAACAAAGAAAAATATTCCCAAATCCAATTTAGGGGGAGAAAAGAGAAAATAAAACAAAACAAAATAAAATAAAATAGGGATTTATATCTGAGCATTACTTTCCAGATGCCCCCAAAAGGATGTAATTTATTAATGTAAGCAGGGGGACTACAAAAGCCTAATGACAACAAAAAGTTACACAGAGTTCAGACATTGTCATTGGAAAGTTCAGCAGAGTTTTCCCTGCCTCCCCAGCTGGGGAAACAGCAGGATCTTCACAGCTTTCCTGTCAGGAAATTGATACGAAACCTCAAATAGCCAGGAGGAAAGAGAGTCCACAAAAGCCCTCTTCTGATCATACATAGGCATACGTTGCATTTCTACATGGGGAAAGTTTTGCAACTAAATGAAACAGTCCAAGCTTTATTTCTAGTTTGCAATTGCATTTTTCAAGATCAAGTTGCCACCTCAAATTCAAGAGATTAAAAAATTGCTCTATTATCTATGGATTATACAACCTAGGCACCAGAGCAAGGCAGAGAATGATTTTTTTGTGTGTGTGTATACAGAGTCATAAGCATCAAAACAAAAAGCAAACAAATGCAACTATATATGACAAGTTACTGTTCTATTGCAACCTGCCAGGAGAGGAACACGATTAAGTGCACCCTAGTGAAAGCAGTAGGAATGAAGAGATGATAATATGTAAAGTCTTCAAGTAATATAGGACAGATGAAAGAACTGAACTGCAAACTAGGGCATGATGGCAAGTATATGAACAGGTATAAACAAGCAGTTCAAGAGAGGAGTTCCTGAAAGCAAAGTATTTCTGTCAAAGTTAAAGACTCTGTTTTGCATACACACTGTCCCTGTTTTAATCACTTAACACATCTGCCATGCAGCTCCAGAAGCCAGTAATGCAGCACTCTCCACATAGACACATGTATTCCAGTTCAGCCCTGAAGAACCATGTTTCTCCATAAGACTACCCAGGCCCTACACTCCTGACCACGTAAAGAAACCGTAAGGCTTCAGTGAGTTCATACACAACATAAAATTAAAAACTCGAAGTATTTTCAACCTTAAGCAGTTATGACCAACAACCCAAATGCTAAGGAGCAGGCAGTACTGATCCTTTCAGCTTTTTATCTCACATAACTGCAACGCAAGTCACCAAAAAAAAAAAAAAAAAAAATCACAGTTCGCTCTTCTAGTGGATAATGCAGACTATGAAGATTAGACAGCTAGTCAAAAAAAAAACTCCACCACTTCTTCATGCTACGAACATGTCTCCTGCTTGGCTTCATTTCTTTCGATTTCTTTCCAAAGCTATCCTTTGGAGTGTTCCCCAAGACTGCCATTCCAAGAAATACAAAGAGATCCCATTGCTACATGGGAACTCATTAGGCAATACTTTTCCGGCTTATTTTGCACCTGAATTCATGCAAGCCAACTGACCCGAGGGCCAGTGCTGCTGCTCACACCAAGCTCTGCACTTCGGGCCAGTTTGCTTCCTTTTCAGCGTCTGCTTTAGGCAGCTCCAAGTGGCAATTTAAACAACTCAGCCTACTTTGTTCAACCAATCTGGAGGCCAAGAGGGCACAAAATCCCATAGACACCAGAACAGAAAGACAGCTGATAATTCAGTTCCCAGGAGCTTGGCTGGCAGAAGCCTAAATACAAAAGCCCAACACGTGAAGTATTTGACCCCTCAGGGAGAAGAAAGCCTAGTTTCCATCAGCCCACCTTTCCCACTGGTTGCATTTATGGTTATTTTAAATTATTACTTTCTGCTGTTTTGCTTAAAGACCTTTCTCAACTATTCTGTTCTCTGCCCGTGGAAGGGAACTGTTTTGAAAGGGCAACCTGTTCAAAAATAAGGACTGGCCACCTAACTCATCTGTGCATGATAGACAATGCAACGAACAGGGACAGCCAGGTCCAGCCAAACCCATCCTGCAGGTAACCCCATTTTTAAAAGGGCTGCAGTTATTTTTATGTAAAATCAGCTTCTTCTAATGGCCTCGCTTTCAAGAGCCACCAAAGCCAGTCAACAGACAACCGCAGAACCAAAACCAGTCATTTCTGAAACTAAAAGGCCCAGGTTAAAAAAGCAGCTTTCCAAGTCCTGATCATTTAATTCAGCATTCATTTCTCTTTCTAGTGCTTCTGCATGCTTATGTTTAGCATTAAAAGCTTCACATGGCACTTACTAAAAAATGTCTGCTCCTTTTCCACTCTGGAATCTTCTTTAGACCTAATTTAGTTCTAATTGCAATAAAACCTTCTGCAGGCAGGTTAGGAAGGCACCTGGTAATAACACTATGTTGATAGCTGGTTTTACTATACTGTTCAATCGTTAGACTGGAGAGCAGATCAACCTTTTCCTTCTCCCATGCAAAGCACCTCCGCAGTAATTACTAGAATTAAAAACAAACTAACCCAGACTCCTCACACACACTAAGGAAAAAGACAGATCTTTTCCCATTGCAAAGTCACTTGGAGAGTAATTTCCTCTCTTGTCTTTAGACATCTGCAGCAGGCCTTAAAATCCAGCCAATCCAACCAGGCTCCCTGTTTAATGAAGGTCAAGAGATCTGGAAGGAGTGATTCATCCTGTCTAAATGGAGACATCCCCACTGCCTGCGAAAGGAGCTATATTAGCATGCCCCAAAAAGGGGGATAAACAGGCACGACCAGCTCTGTAAATAGCAGCGTAATGGAAGAGAATCACCGTGGGTGATGCTGTGGGGAGCAGCTGTACCCTAGACATGGCACTTTTCTGCCTCGGCCGGGTGGGATGAAGAGCTCCGTGACCAGCTAAGAGCCATTGCACCCGAAATCTCCCTAGCAGCCGCTTCCGAGCTTGTGCCCATATGGGAAATCTGATGCAAAGGCAGCTTTGAGTTACCTTTATAGAGAGAGGCTACTGCAGAAAGATATAACGAGTGGAGCTGCGTTTGAATGCGCAGCTCCCCAGCCTGACCCTGTGGGATGCTATATACATAAGCCAACTCAACTGCTAGAAACCAAGCACCTTCCTAACATGAATTCAGGCCCAAACTGGCTCTGCTCCTGCCCAAAGTTCACCAGAACTCCAAGAAAAGTTCCTTTTTTTTTTCTTTTCTAATATGTAGTCTCAAAAATATGGGAAGCCAGACCACCAAGAACCTCAGCACAATGTGGGTGATGTTGCAAGCTAGAAGACACTTCATGGAGGCACAGTTACCATGATTCTCCCCAGAGAGGACAATGCACCGTAGCTTTGCCTAAGTTAACAGCTAACTTGAACTAAGTTTTAATAAAGCGAGCGTGCCCTAACAGTTGCACAACTCACAGTTTGTCATCTGTCAAAGGACTGCCACACTGCAGTCAGCTTCAGCTTAGTTTATGTTTACACAGGAACGTTAAGGACACGTCAAGTCAAACCCATTAGGGTAGAACGGGGTCCTCTCTGGGAAGAGGAACCACGGGAAATAAGGGGGAAAAAAAAGCCCTGAACTTCCTCCTATTCCTAAACCTCATGACAAGTATTTTCATCGATAGATTTGCAAGCTCAAATAAACACTCATGGGACAATATATTTTATTCCTCATTAGCCAGTTCAAATGCCAGCTGGATCACCCGAGTGACACTTTCTAGCGTATCAGAATTACTCTTTTATCACTGCTTTCTGACTACGTTTGCCATATTCACTTCCCTCATTTGAGCCCAACTACTTGCTAACACTTCAACCTTGGCTACTGTGACTTACCTGTCGTGACAGTTTAGGCCCACTTGTTCCCAGTAAAATTCTTAACTAATGAGATCCCATTTTCACAAATACACTCTCAAGATAAAAAGAGAAAGCAATTGGAAAAATATACAAAATAAAGTCACACAAGAGATTCTGCAGAAATCCAAGATCAAATATTATCAGAAACTTGCACACTGTGGAGCCTAAAAGAGTAACACATTTTTCTTCTGGGAATTGTTCCTCATTTGTAGATTTTTTTTCCCACCTAGCAGTTCAAAACCCCATTACAATAAAACCCTTGAGCAGAACACATAACCAAGACGAGTAATTACATCTCAGGCACTTTAGTGATAAAGTAGCTGGTGTTACAGGTCTAGTACAGAGCTTATTCCCAGTTCCAGAAACGTACATTTAACAGAATCCAGTTTCTTGTACAAACCACCCTGGAAGCTGCTTCAACTCCATGCCTTCTAGCTGAAGGGAGCAAAAGTTGTAGTGAAACTGAAATAAGAGGTAGCCTGTAAGAGCCAGGCTGTTTTTCCTCATTTCTCTGCACACCCCCTAAATCCAGGCACCGGTTTCCTACATTTCCACTCTAAAAAGCCACTTACCTGCTGCTTACTGTGGCCTCACTGCAGTCTAGCAGGGGCTGACACACCTCAGCACCTCTGCCCTCACATAGTGCCTGTTCTCGGACAGAAGCTTGAGAGCAGGTGACATAAAAAACTTATTTCCATGCTGGATGAGAGGGCGTCTCTCAGCTTTCAAATGCGTGCACTGCTTATTGCCTGTTCACCTGTGTTTGAGCACACAAGTAGGGCAATGCAGAACATTATTCCATCCTCAAAACTCCAGCTTCCTCAACTTCCTGTAACATCCTCAAAGCTTTCGTTTTTAGGAGTGGTTTTGGAAAGGCTCATCCTAGAAATAAGCAAGCAGTGATTGGGTTACGTTGTCCTCCTACCAGGATGGGCATCCAGGATATCTGCTGCTACAAAGCTGTTGGCTTTGACAGAGTCCTTCCAACCAGCGAGTCTGCATCACAGCTTTTGGGTTGCTCTTTAGAGGCCAGAGACATTTTAAGTGTCAATGAAATCAAGACAGGGTACAGTGTACAGACACAGAAATCAAGACAGGGTACAGAGACAATGCATACTTGTACCTTGTTATACTAATCTATATGTTACAAGATGCGACCAATGTGTATCAACACCAACTTTAGCTCAATTGTCTGTCATGCTAGTCTGACTATAACATGTCAAATGTACAAAAGTATGTCCTAAAATGAGATTACAAACTAATCTGAGTGTATTTAATGAAACTGCGATCCAACAGGTGGAAATGCTTCCTAAGGCCATCTTGGAATAACTTCCACCCCAACTCATACAACAGAAATCTGCAGGTATTCGTTATGACAGGTCCAAAACCCAGATTTCATCTTCACTTTTGTACACTAAGAACTCAATCTATTGCTATTTTTTTTCCAAGGAAGAACAGCAGCAATCACAAAAGCACCTATTTCAACTCCACGAGATTTTCTCGAGTGACCTGGAGATTTTCCCGAATGATCTGGGGAGAGCCACGTTCAAAGCTGAGCAGATCTTGTTCTTGCAATTTAAAGATGAACAGCACTAGATACCAGCAAATAATTCAGGCCATAAAGAGAGAACGAAGATGGGGAAAAAAGGAGTTGTTGAAATGAAGAAATTTAAAAGGGCTGACAAAAATAAACAAATAGATAAATAAATAACAGAAGTATAGCCACATCTTACTACAGCTTTAACTCAGAAAAAACAACATATATTAGAGTGCGTGTGCATATATTTGCATATATATGTGTGTTTCTATAAATATATACAAACTCTGTGAAGCAGGACCTATGTTGATAATAAGAAGTAGTGCAACTTCCACGCACACACCCAGAGCCTTTCGCACCGACGCGATCCCCGCTCCCTCTGAATCCGGCGTTATTGGCGATTCTCTCTGCTCAGCTGTTAGCGGCAGCTGCCTGGCAGCCACGCGGGCTCCCCGCTTCGTGCACGGACACCCCGGGCACGCTGTGCTCCTCTCAGTCCCCACGCGGGTGCTCCCAGCAGCACCGGGGGCTTCGCGGGATGCGGCGCGGGAAGCGTTAAAGTGGCAGCAAGGCTCCTCAAAGCGGCAGGAATAAGGAGCGCGTGGGAAGTGCGAGGCCGATGCAGCAGTTCTGCCGCAGGGCAGCAGCTAGTGAGTGCCGGCGGGCAGGCCCCTGTTTTTAGTGGGCTTTTCCCGGCCCCGAGCGCCGTCGCTCACCGGCGCCGCGCGCGTTGGTTAGAGAGGCGCCGGCCGCTCTCACCTCTCATTCTCCGGGTGCTGCGGCAGCCTTCCCGAGCCCGGGTAAAAGTTTTTCAGGAAAGATGGGGCAGAGAGGGAGGAAGGGAGGCCGGGTGGCGCCGACTCGCCCCCGGTGCGAGCACGCCGGACCCCCAGAACAGGGCTGTGGGGCAACAAGAACATAGAGCACGTGCGTCAGGACGGAGCGGGGCACGGACACAGGCACCCACGCTGAGGATATCTTGGCTTTCCAGAAGCTAAGCTGCACCAAGTGCACTTCTGGGCAGTTTGCCTGATAACAGCGACCCTGCTGTTACACTCGATGCCTTTTTAGAAACATTTTAATGGCCCTGAAGAGCAGGCGGGAGATCTCGTTTCTTCAGCGTTATTTGTTCTCAAAACAATGCAGAAAATGAGGCTCTGAAACGTCAGAAAATACCCTTTCAGACTTGCTCTCCGTAAAATAAATCACATTACCGTTTTCCTTCTCTTGTTCTGGCAATGCACTGATGTTACAAACTTTATGATATAAACATGTTTTATGTTATAACTTGTTATAAACTACAGAATATTTACATGTAATGTACTGGGATAAATTTTTCAAAGTTCAAAAAAAAATGAAACTTCAGTTTTGCAAGCATCAAAAGAGATACTCCTACTGCACAGTTAAACATTACTTAACAACAGTAAAACATGTCAAGAGGGACATGAGAATCAACCCATTTTCTTCTACATAACATTTCTGGCTAATGCTCAATAAGAAAAGGGAGAAAAAGAAGCCCAGCCTGGAATCACGTTGTCACAAAGCTGTTTTGAGTGAAAATTTGCTGATTATGCAACTCAATCAGTGACTTCTTTAAAGCTATTACAAAGAAGTGAAGTCAGCAAGTCCTTCAGTTTGAACTGTCAGGGTTTCCTGTTTGCATACGACCTGGTCAGTGGAAAAAAATAAGCAGTTTATCTGGGTAAAAAACACATTATTTATGTCTTTGCAAGCATAGCAAGGCCATTTGAAGGCTTATTTCTTACTTCACCCCTTTCCTTTCGCTTAAAACAGATTAAGTCTTTCTCTGCAAGCTGCTGTGGCACTCACTCTGCTAACCCAAGTCGGGGTGAGAAAGTGCCATTTAAAGTCCCTTTTGGAGGGGCCCTGCGAGAAGCTCAAGCTGTGACCCACGGGCTCCCTGCTGGGAGGGAGGCCTCCATGGACTGGAGTCCTGGGGAAGTTTTGGAGTTTGCATGGACACCTACTGGAGATGGGGAGGAGGGCTGCGGGAAGGCAGCACCTCCAGGAGGTGCAAGGAGCCCCTCGGAGCAAGCACAGAGGCTGGGCTCCTGCAAGAGCCACGTCCCACGTGAACTAGCTGGAGAGGCTCCAAACGGGAAAGGGGAAGAGGTTGCCAAGGGAAGCTCCCAAGAAAGGCAAACAGGGAAACGGGTACGTCCCGCAGGTCAGAGGAGGTGCTTAATCCTTCCAGCTGCTTGGAGAGATTCCTGCACAGCTTCAACTCTGCACGGGGACTCAGGGAGCTCAGCCGATGCTCTGACAGGCACTTGAAGCTCCCAGAGCTTCTTTCATCCCGGCGCAAACCACCGGGCTGTTACAAGCACCGGGAACCTCCTCTCCCGCACGCGGCAAAGCCGGAAGGCTCAGAGCGCTTTTTCCAGAGGCCGCAAATGAAGAAGTGGAAGCGCCGTGGGGCTGCGGGAAGCGCCGGGGGGCTGCGGGAAGCGCCGGGGGGCTGCGGGAAGCGCCGGGGGGACCCACCTGGCGGGCTCGGGGCAGCCGTGGCGCAGCAGCGGGGCGCGGGCGCTCTGCGAGCGGCCGTTCTGGAAGGTGATGCGGCGGCGGGCGCTGGACGGCGGGTGGCTGAAGGTGTGCGCGCGGCGCCGCAGCCGCGGCGAGCCCGCCTCCTCCTCGGCGAAGGGCGGCCACGCCGGGCCCACGGGCGAAGCCGGCGGCGTGCCCGGCGGAGAATCCCCCGGAGAGGCGTCCTGCAAGGAAGCGCGAGAGCCGTGAGGCCGCCGGGATGGGACGGGACGGCGCGGCGGCACCAGGGCCCCTGCCCTGCTGGTACCAGCTGGGCGGCCAGGGCCTTTGAGAGCTGCCTCTGGAGCCTCAAAGCCAAAAGCAAAGCGGAGGGAGAGGTTTATGTACAGCGCAAACAACGTACTAATTACTCCAAGCATCCTCTCGCCGCGAACAGCATTCCAGCTACCGGGCTCCTGGCTCTCTCCGGGAAAAATAAGGAAGTGAAAAGATTAGGGAAACGGCCTTTCTGTGCGTGTGTGAGCGTGTTGGCTTCTCGGCGTATCGTGAGGCAGGCTTCCTGTGGCGCCGGCGCCGCATCCTGCGAGGGGAGCGCTCCCGCTCGGCCCGCGCGCGAGGAAGCGCCGCAGGAAAGTCACAGCCCAGGGCCCATCCCCAGGGAAAGGGCAGCGGCCAAGCCGGGCGCGACACAGCAGGGGGGAAAATAAAGAAAGGGACATGTTAAAAACGGGAAGCAAAGCGAAAGCGAGCGGAGCGCTGCTGGCGCGAGCCCACCGCAGCGGCATCCCCGGCCGCGCGGTTTGGGGCAAGACGCTTCCCTCCCGCGACCGCTGCCTGCGACAGGAGGATCCGGCACCTCCGGGGAAGCCCGTGTAGTCGGGATGTGGCTCGGTTTGAGCTGCTGCCGGGAAGCGAGGCGGAAGCAGGACAGGGACTGCTGGCTTTTAGAAAAGGAAGGGAAGTATAGAAGGAAAAAAAACCCCAAATCCCCCCAAACACCACCACACCACACACGTGTATAGAGGTGACCAAAGAGCAGACTGAAGCCGAAGCCGCAGGTGGAGGCTCCGGGCGCGCGGCGCCCACGCACCCTGTCCGAGGCCAGGCTGTTGCAGCGCTCGAAGCTGTCCACGCTTCCCAGGCGGCCTCGCATCCTGTTGGCTCCCTGCAAGGAAAAGGCAGGGGGTTAATCCGGGCTTTCCCCTCCCGCCCGAGGGATAAGCAGAGGTGCAGAGGACGGCTCGGACACGTGCCTTGCTAGGCCACGGAGAGCAGGACGCTCCAAGCATTGGCTGAAGCTGTTACTGCTTTTCTGCCCTCCCCCGAGGGTTCTACCCCTACAATCCCCTTTCCTGAAGCCACTGAACGTTCCTTCACTCCTGACGGCTGCCCTCACATACTTCACCCCACATCTAGGCGTTTCAGACCACTCAAACCCAGGCAGGACAAGCACTAAAACTGAGGCCAGGGCTCTCTGGCTGCAGAGCCACCAACAGCAGAGAGGCAAGGCTGGAAATCAGGGTCTTCTGGCCGCACGGGAGCAGCAGGGCCTTTGACCACCCTCTGCCTCTAACTCTCACCATCATGAAACACGAGCGGCAACCTGGGCCTGAGCTAAATTACAGCACTTAAACGGGGGAAAATAAAACCTGGCTTTTAGGAGAACTATAGATAGACTGAGCTCACAGTAGCTCTCCTTGGAACGCTTGCAGCTACAGGGGAAGTTTTGTCAACAGCTGCAGTATTTATTTAGCCTGCTTTTCCTGGTAGGGTTTATTTTGTCTTTCAAGGCTTTGAATGCCCCCTCTGTGCATCACCCCATTTAAGCTTCCGACGCAGGAATACGCTGCCTGAAACATCTCCTCGCTGACCCTCGCAATAAAACCAGAGCAAAGGATGACTTGGAAACCTCTCAGTAGATTTAAAAAACACTCAGTGTTATATTTTTGGCATGCTAAGAAGGGCTTTTTGGTTTGGGAATCAAACAACAACAAAAACGTTAGCATGGCGGAGGCTGGGATAAATCTGTTCCTGAGGTCAGAGGGAGGTTTTATTTATTTTTCTGAAGTACACAGCTAGGAAGCCACAGCCTGTTTTCAGTTCAAACACAGCAAAAATAAGACCAGGACAGCAAAACAAACAAGTGAAAAAGTGACATTCCTTTGTGAACTGCTCTATCTGAAGTCAGCGCACAGACCCCAACAAGTTTCCCTACTGTGAGGGGACAGCTCTAAGTCACTTGGGCAGCTGAAAAGGGGACTGGATGCCATTTGTCAAGCTTAAAGTGTTCCAAGATAAACCAGCTACTGCAAACTTATTTCAGATTGTGGCGAGATTGACGTTACATACGTCTCCCTAAAACACATTTTTTTTTTTACTTTTTTCTCCTCCCTAATTTAAATCTTTGCACCTACAGTACAATTCTGAATGAGTTTCACAAATACGCACGCAAATAAATCTTTTCTTTCCTAGTCTCTTTACTGCTAACTATATCTTAAAACAGAGAGGATAAGCCACGCACCGTTAGCATTCCAGTACATTAACACCAGGTGACCTGCAGCTGGCTTAGGGGCATTGAAGCCTAAATACATTTAAATACATTTACAACTTAACCACGATGCAGGGGGCTGCTGTAACAGCACTATGGTACCAAGTGAGAACTGCTGAACCTTGTGCTAACATGGGCATGCACACAGCACACACAGAGCAGGCACACAGACACTGTCTAGAACTGTATCTATCAACTTTGGGTACAGGAACGTGTGTGCACGTATATATACATATATCTGTACCTCCTTGTACTATAGCACTCAGCACATCCCAGCAGTCCTGTTGAGAAGGAACACGCTCTATCAAACCTAACACCAGATAAGTGATACTCCCTTCTGAGGGGTTTCAATGCAAGTCCTGTATTTTCTGAGGGATGTTCTTCCCTCCACGTGTGTGTGAACGTGTCCATGCAAGGCTGGCTGCTTTCCTGGTGACGTAGGGCTGGGCCAGCCCCACTGCAGGGTTAGTGCCCCACTGGCAGCACTAGATGACTTTCCAGTCACACGTCCTTGAGACGTGGGAAGTAACTGAGCCTCAGCACAGGGCATGACTGTAGCTGTCACCATCTGATGGTATTTCAGACTGCTGAAATTATCCAGGTCTTGGAGCATCACTGCTCCCTTCATGCACACTCTGCACACCCTGACAAAGGTCCCAGCTATAAAGCTTTCTATATAGCATAGGCTGGAGTTGCTCAGGCAAGTTTTAATCCTAGCTTCAGTCCTACGTGTAGCCCAGGGTTAACCTTCAGTGCAGGCACAGATTCTCCCTGGCAATGAATGTTCTGCCTCCTTGGTGAGGCGCACCAGTGGCTCCTCAAGATGACTTTATGGCATTCCCATTTAAGCTGCAGCCAAGGGGACAAACACAGGCAAATGCAGCAAGGTACTTGAGATTACTAGCAGAAGGAACAAGTACCTGCTGCCAGTAATCTTAAAATCCTGCTGCCAGTAATCTTAATTTCACTGCCCCAAGCTGTATTGGCATCATGTCATCTAGCACCGCAGCTCATCTATGCCCTGGATCCCAAGCATTCAGACTCCTTCATTTACTCCTTCATATTCCTCTTCTCCCCTCTCAGGACTCTCCCTATGAGGCAGCAAGAGAAACCTGCACTTAAGACTTACTTTTAAAAGGCTAATAAATAGAGAGAGATGCAGAGCACGCTCCCATGATCATCTGCAATTCCATGTTGTCCCGGGCTAGCAGCAAGAATTAATTTCAAAAATCCATAGAGACAGGTAGATTTCCTGCACAAGGATCATTTTGCTGCTGCTTCCCCAAGACTCTTAGTGGCCAACGAGCTTTTCAGCTGGGAGATGTAAGGTCACTTCTCAGACTAGAACAAGGTTACTTCTCAGAACATAAAGATCTCCAGCATAATTCATGCAGGGACATCTATCCAAGCTTTCAAAACAAGATAACGGATCCTGTTATGAGATCATACAGCCCTTCTGACAGAAGAAAAAAAAAAAAAAAAGGCATTTTAAAGCAAGACATCTGATAACACTCAGCTAATTTGCTTGTCAGGCTTATTTTTCACAGAGTTGCCTTTTTGCTCTGCCTATGAGGCTTATCATAAACTTTCCCTCATAGCCAAGTCACTGTCACCCTCACATTTCACAACAGGCACCTCTCTCCACTAAGTATTTATGAGGAAAAATATCTGATAGGGCTTTGCTGTCAAGGCTATCTGGGAGACGTGCTGGCAGCGGGCTGTTCATCTTACCCTTGAGAAGATATTTTCCAGCGAGCTGGTCAAGGATTTCTTGGCCTTGTTTTTGAGAATGTCCAGTTTGAACCTGCCGCCGGCGGCCGTGCTCTCCGGGATGGCGCTGTTGGGGGCGGCCTGTGGAGGGGAGGCCAGGACACAGGTCAGCTTGGGCAAGTCCTTGGGCAACTGCAGCACTCCAAGCACGAAGCTGCACCAAATTACATAATGAACAGCATAGCCTTGGCCTTCATTTAAAAAAAAAAAATGTTAAAAGAACATTCCACCCTTAAGGACTACCTAAAAAAACCTGAATTGAGCAATACTGTTATCTGTTCCATTTGATAGGTACTTTTGTGATATACGTGGTGCCTTCTTGGCGCCTACTCTCCCTAAAATGGCTGTTATGCAGTGGGGATCCAGGAGCGAAGAGACAGAAGAGGTATTCCTCCCACTAGAAGGAAATCTAGACTTCAAAAAGACCCCTAAAACCACACCAAAACTTAAAAAACAAAATAATTGCTTGGCTTCTTTCCCTCCTTCCTTCCCACCCAAAGCTAAAGAATGGAGCACGCCACAATAAATCAACCCCAATCGCTTCTGCTTCATTCCTGGCTCCCGGCACCACCACCCAGCTCCAGCTCTGGCTCCAGCTTTGCTCCTATTGAAGGCTGCTTCCGAGCAGCGTGGGCAGGAGGAATGACACAGAGTTGAGCTCTACCGAGGGGGCCTCGTCGATGTGAACGTGCGTCTTCTGCTTGGCCTCACACAGCTGCCGGAGATGCAAGATCACAAGCTCGTTCTCCTCCTGGTCGTTTTCAGGCTTCATTTTCTGATAGCAGCAACAAAGAAAAAAGGAGAAAAATAAAAATAAAAGTTGTCTCTTGAGTCATGAGTTGCTTGGCTTCACTTCTGCTTATTCTTTGAAGTTAATGTATCAATGCTGCAGTTGCCAGAGTGTCCTACATTAAATTAAATTACAATATTGCTTGTGTGTCTTCACACTCTAGGGCAAACCAGGCCTGTCCACAGGGAGAGCACTGCAGGCCAAGGAGGGCAACGAACCTCATGACTGCACGTTTTCTTTTCCAAGCTTATCTGCCCTTGTCTAGGCTCACAAGAGTGCACAAAGACACACAGAGACATCTGCTTTCCCAGGCAGCCAGAGAAGAGCACAGCCTTTGGCTTCCTAAGCCAGTTCATGTTTACTTTAAGCTGCCCAGATGATCATGAGCATGGTTTTATACTACACCCTTTACCCACTTAAGTACACTTAAGTGCATTAAGACTCTAGCCTTGGAGCGCTAGTCGGAACAGAGTGAAAACAAGCAAATGCCCAACTACTTCCCAATAGTCTGTGCACCTTGGCTGTTCTCAATTCAGCTTCACAGTATCGCTTTTATACAAGTGTATTTACAAATGAGAAACCAAAGTCAATAAAAAAAAATTAAAAATTAAAAAAAAATTTAAAATACTTTGCACACAGACATAAAAGTTGCCACTTTCCTGACACCAGCATAGCACAGATGACATTTGGCTGGAGCATACTATTTTTGGTAGAAAAAATGACAAATCCTAGACCAACTACAGGGCAACACAGTCAAGTAGGCAAGCAAAGAAATGTTTAGCCCATTTTAAATGGGCTTTTCTCCCTTGCTCTTCCAAATGTCCCCATTTTTTTTTCCTCCTCTCCCAAAGCTGAGGCAACAGCTTCTAACTTATTACCTGAACGCTTTCAAAAATGTCTGCTTGCTCATTATCAGATAGTGACGACAAGTGTCTCTGGATTACGAGTTTGGCTCTTGGTGGATAGAGTCCTGAGAAAAGAAGAGCATATTAAAGCCTCTGGAGTCCCCAGACATCTCCCAATACCCTTTTTTTGCTAAACCATGCAGTTCTGTCTCATTTCATGGGCAGTAAAAATAGAACAAGCCACAGTTAAACTGGAAGCCCAGCACCGATATGGGGAAGGGAAGAGGGGAATGGAGGAGGGAAATATATTCAGGGGAATATGAAAGGATATTCAATGCACAAGGGACTCACAAGTCCCTGAGGGCTTAATTGAAACATGTAGACACATTTTCATACAAAGGAAAGGAGAGGGCACAGGTCATAAAGCGGAACTAAAAGAACCCTCCTCAAAAGTGAGAGGCACAAAGCCAATAGAAACAGAAGAAAGAAATTTTGCTTTTTGCTAACCGTGTTTGCCCATAAATCTAGGGGGAAAAAAAAAAAAGAAAAAACAGGCTAAAAATAATTTTTGTAGCCAACACTGGCATCATCAATAGAACATCCCAAGCAGAACAGATGAAGACTGACAAAAGTCGAAGTCCTGAATTTAGTTACAGGAATCTTGTTGACTATAAGGATCTTGCTAAACAAAGCAGAATGATAAAATCGGAGGCACTGCAGTAAGTATTTCAGTCACTAAGTACAAAGCTTAAACAGCAACTATTTTTGTACTCAACTCATTACTCTGGAAGAGATCTTTCCATACTGGGCTCTGGGGTCTTTTCTAATAGGCTTACAAGTACCCTATCCAAGATATTCACACTGCTGTATAGAGCAACCTCTATGATTCTTCCACTGTGAGAAAAAATTCAAGTTAAGGTTTATGATTTCTGAATCTCTGTTGCTAAACCCAGAAGACACCACTCACCACCTAGCAGAATTTCTCTCCACCAGGCATTTTTGCTTTGCTTCTCTTCCACCAGAGGGAGGTAAATAGCACTATTGACTTCTAATCAGTGGGGAAAGTGGGTGACTTACGGTACAACCAGACCAAAAGAGACCAGAACATGGTAACATATTTGCTTGTTTCCATACAACACTTTGCAAGGACGCAAATCAGAATGACTTTAGAAATGGGATCCTGGTGCAAGGTAGGATTGAAACCAATCCTAAGCCATTTTGTATGTGTTCTGGCATACTGCACTTCCAAGGAAACTAAAAATGGTTGTGCATGCACATATTTCAAAGCCAAGGTGCTGCCTTGACTCTATTAGATATTAATCTCCTAATTCAATCATTTATTTCCTGTAACATAATTGAGTTTTTAAGTACATGCAAAAATGAACACAAAGGAAAAAAAATCCCACATGGGAAAGAAACAACTCATCAGAAAGCAAGATCCTTTCCGATCATTGCTGTCTTGTTAAGAGTCGTTTTGGAATAATGTATTTTCAGAGAAACAAAAGAAGAAATATATGTTTTTCTGTACTTTTTAACACTGGAGAGGCTTGGTGATGAAACAATAAGTATTTACAATATGAGCTATATTTAGAGGACTCTATTTAGTTGTAGTATCTTTACTGCCACCACCTCCATGTGACTGCAATGACTGAAAGGAGACGATGATGCTGATCTCCTGTGGATTCCCCTTTCCCGCTCTCACATCCCCTCAAGGGTTCCATCTCCAGGTGAGGAGGAACTTCTTCACTGTGAGGGTGCCAGAGCCCTGGAATAGGCTGCCCAGGGAGGCTGTGGAGTCTCCTTCTCTGGAGATCTTCCAACTCGCCTGGATGCCGCCCTGTGCCCTGGGTGTGCCTGCTGGAGCGGGAAGGTTGGACTAGATGATCTCTAGAGGTCCCTTCCAACCTTGAATATTCCGTGACTCTGTGACTCAACCCCAGGCCCGAGGAAGGTGCCCACCCTTCCCAGGGCCCACGGGACGCTTCCAGCAGCAGCCCAGGCGCGCGGTACCTTCGATCCTCTCGCAGAGCTTGTGCAGCGCGTGCATGGGGCAGGCCTCGCAGAGCTTCACGTGTGTCTTGGCGCTCTGCAGCGCCGCGGCCGTGCTGAACGCCTGCTTCAGCGTCAGCATCACCTCGTCCACCTGCGGGAGGCCCAAGAAGACACGGCAGTAGTGTAAGCAGAAAGGCACCCGCCACCAACCCAGGCTTACCAAGACCCGCCGCTTTCCCACCCCAAAGCCTGGCACTGTCTGCAAGCAGACACAACCGCGCGGGTAAAGAGGGCTGGGATCTGCTCCTGCCCATTCCCTGGAGGCCAGGTTAATTGGAATTAAGCACTGGGGTTCTCTGAAACAGCCGGCTACGAATGTCCATAGAGGTTCTAGCCATGCACAGGATTTCAAAATGGAAATGGAAAAAAGGGAAATGGAAATATGGAAACAGGAGGAAGATGTTCTCATTCAGAAGGGCCTCGATCTCTTCCTCCTGTGGCATCTGTTGTACCTGGACACCTGGGCACCTAAATGCTTCCAGAAACTTACTTGTCAGGATACTTTAACAAGAACATTATAGTTATATACTGAGTTTCTACTACTAGAAAAAAATAATAAACTGCTCTCCAAAATAGTGATTTATTATTTACGCTTTGTGCCAGAATCTGGGGCTACGCAGCCAAGTCCTCACTATTAAACTGCAAACTCATCTGGGGCCGGAGGGAGGGTTTTCCGAGATGCTGCATTTCCGGAGTCTCCACTGGAATCCGAGTTGTGGATGCTCCCAGCTGGAAGCGCAGCCGGAGAGCGAGCACCCAACAGCAGCTCCCATGCACAGGGCACTGCACTTTCCTCGGGATCAACACCCTCTCAGACCGGCTTTAGGCTCCTCCGAGAGGCACAGCAAGGCCGCATTCCCACCCACCGGCCCTGGAAAAGCTCGGCTTTTGTGCCGGAAAGGTCAGGGGCGAGGGGGGTTCACCTCGCTCATTCACACACACACGCTCCAGCTCCAGGCACAAAGCGCTCGGACTGTCCCAGTGTGTATTTGCAGGGAATACAATGCTTATTAAAAGCCATTTACCCAGGTCTTTGTATTATGCTGGACAGAAGGAAAGTGCTTGAAGGCAGTTTGGGAACAAAGGCGACTATTATACCTCAAAAACAATTTTTATTTTTTGCTTTTTGAAGAAAGGCTGAAGAAACTGAAGTATTTAAGAATAAAAACATGCAGTCTATCATTCAAAACACACAGACTATTCTGAGGGTCTGTCAGTTACAAGAAAAAAAGGCACCTGAATGTGGAAATCTGAATTAGGTTGTTTCTCGATGTTTTACTGCATGTCTATTAAAAAAACTCCACCTTTTTACATGCTACAAGCCAAATTCCTTGGTGCTCTTTTAGCAATAGGACAAGCATTGCACAGCAAATATCCCTGTTGAGAGATATATATATATATATTTATATTTATTCTTTTTTTCTTTTTCTCAAGTAAATGAATGCAAAAGTCTCTCAAAACACAAGATACTCAAAATATTACTAGATATATAGATACTGAGCACTCTGAAATCATGAGAACAGACCGTACCTAGGTTCAGTGCAAATATACCCAGCACGAGTAGGACAGCTTAGCTGGCAGCACAGAACCCAGAAAGTGCTTTACTGCTCTGCCCAGCCCCAATTAACTTGCCATTAGCATCCAAGCAATCGCATGCTAAATTAGCTCAGGAACACTCCAGTCCCTGTTGCAATGTGGAAATTCCCACATATGTCAGTAACTAGAATACATAAACTGATAAATTTTTGATATGCATATCTAGCACATTTTAAGATGTGTATATAGCACATTTTAAGCGGCTTTGAATAACATTATACATGGCCAGATTTATTAGGTCAGTTGCAACATTTTCTCCTAGCACAAAGACTCAGTTGATTTCATAACAAGCTCCTGTTTTCTTCTCGTTTTGATTCTAGCGCAGTGTAGGATACTTAGGGCTATTAACTGCTTCAGGTTTTAGTGACCAAAATCTATTCCTTCTCACAATTTGCTTACTGAATTCACGTTTTTCAGACAGCTAAAGCGATGATTTACAAGTCTAGATTGAAACAGAAAAAAAAAGTTAGCAGCTATTAGTACAGACTAATGCAAATTTTCAGGATTTAGGAGATGCTTTGGTCATCCCCTGGCAAAGAAAGCTAGGGCCATTCATTTGCAGTTCCTTACCAGCGATTCGCTCGCGCACTGGAACACGTAGCAGACGTACTGGCTCAGCCCGGGCTCCACAGACTCCCGACAAATGAAGCCAAAGTGATCGACGTGCTTTATGCCCTGGAAGGGTTTTGAAAGGACATTGAGAGACTGCTTTATAAACACGGAGAGCTTCCAACTTGATCCTAGAAACAGTTCCTAGACTCCCGACATTCGCAAACAGAAAAAAAATTGAGATCCTATAAGCACATGCTGCTAATGATCTCTTCAGCAACTCCAACATTATCTTTTATATACCTTTTATATTAAAACATTACACAGAACTCTTTGCACAATCAAATCAAATAGCTACACAGCAATAATGGGCCTGGATTTCTTCCACTAGAAGAATTGGATTTCCAGGGAAGCCAACAAAACAGTCCCAGGTTGTATCCGGAATTGCCTCTGCAGTCAAAGCACTGATGTGAGGAGCCCACACTAAAACATGCGGCTGGGATGGTATTAAAGTAGTGGCACATCATCTCTTTCCTTAATAGAGGTTTAAAGTACCGATAAATAAGTAAATAAATAGAGCAGGGGGTGCGTGAGAATTGCTACCTGTTACTACTGATCTTTTATTTCAGGATCCTAGTGTAACTGTTGAACAGGGAACCCGGCCTTGCTAAACGTGCAGCGAGAGGATCAAAGAGACCTGCTCCCAAGGCAGCACTGTGCTCCTGGTCTCAGCGCACGGAACATGACTCACTATTGTTACAGCCTTTGCCAATGTTTTTATCATCTAAATATGGCAAGAGTGGATTCTCTCCAAACGAAAAGCCCGAGCCCGCAAGTTCAAATACAACAGAAGGCAGAACTCAGTTGCTTGGATCCATCTCCAAAAACAACACCTATATCATGAAAAGATGGGAGGAGATGAATCAGCTGGCTTGTGCCTTCAGAAAACACTCTGGACAAAACCAGCAGCACGCTACGTGACAGACTGAACATAGCGTCACTATTGCCAGTAGTTTTTAAAACTAAAACCGAACTCCAGAAGTTACATCTGTGCTGCTGGAAGAGCAAAGCTTAACACAAGTGCAGAGCCCACCTAAGGTGGCTCAGAAGCCATCTGATGGTTTATATAGCAGGGAACTGTTGCTCTTTCTTTTGTGATTAAAGTGTAATTTCTCCATGCGGCTCAGTGAGATGCAGGTTGCCTCACTGCAGACCAGGCCTGCAAAGTCTACTACTGTCCAATTTCCCGTTTTTGCATTTTTTTTCCCATTTTGCATAGCCATGGTGGAAATGACACTCACACCACTGTGGTTGTAAAGGGCGCAGTGTGTTTTCCTGGATGCCACCCTGTGCCACATGCTCTGTGGGTCCCTGCTGGAGCAGGGGGGCTGGACCAGATGATCTCTAGAGGTCCCTTCCAACCTCAACCATTCTGTGGTTCTGTGATTCTACCAAGAGCAGATGCACACAGGCTCTGTAGCAGGGTGCCTTGGCCTGCCCCGACAGAAGAACACGCAGCTCGTTCTGTGCTGCCAAAGGCCAGCAAGCCTGCAACGAGCAATCTGCTGCGGCCGCATGCACCTGCATTGCTAGCACTGACATGTGCTGCTTAGCCAGTTAGGTGAAGCTCAGATAACGAGCTGACCTCAGCAGATCAATCACCCTCACGCTATAGAACAGAAACACCTTTATTGGACGGGACTGCAAGAACACAGAACCCGAGTTCGAGAGAACGTCTCTTTTTGCATCATTTTAGAGCTCAGAAGACCGAACATTCCTAAGCTGCAGCCTCACGATATGCAGTAAATCCCTGCTCTCCAAACCCACAAAGCAGCCCCGTGGCCAGCACTGAGGTCTGGTAAAGAAACCCCGATGAGCCTTATGCAACCAAAGCTTTAGTCTTGAACAAATTAAAGTCTCATTCGTATTGAACATAGCGGGTAAAAAAGACTTTTCTAAAGTATCTGTCACATGAGAAGAAAAAAAGAAAAAGCATTTTTCAACTCAGCTAGCATTACTAGTGCCTGTCCCAATCACTGAAACATGCAAAATAACAACTTTTGCCTCAAACAAGACCAAGGAGGTCAAGAACGGGACAAAGCCCAATACGCAGCATTACCTGATAGTATTTACCACATGTAATTATTTTCCTGAAGGAAAGCGAGGCCTCAAAGGACTGCAATGGTCCTGGTTTAAAGGCTTTGGCCTTTACAGTCATCACCAGGAGCAGAACAAAGCTTGTCCCAGCTTAGGGCTCTTGTTTGACTGTTACTTGTATCTTCACAGAACTCATGAGTCACTTTCATCCAACTCAGAAGATCCAGGCCATGTGCAGATTTAGCTTTTCATACCACTTCTTTAAGACCTTTGCCAGCCTCCCACACATGGAAGTGTGCTTGCAACTAACACAATAATAATAAGGTGGTCTGAAATGCTGCATGTGAACAGGGAATGGAAGAGGGAAATGAAACAAGACCTTGGAACAGAAAGTAGCAGAAGGAAGAACAGCTGCAAGATAGAGTAGCCCTCGCCCTAGGTATTTCACTTCATAAAATGTATTTATCTACTGATGGAGCAAGCTAGGCTCATCCCTTGCCACATCCTACAAAAGCTACTATGCTGGTGAAATGCTGCCTGTCTCAAGGGATCATCAGATATTCCAACAGTCCAGAGGTTTTTAGCTCAACTGCCCAGAGATGACACTGCTGATATCCTAAATGGGAATTGCTTCCAATATTAAATCCAATGCCCTCTCGGAGCAGAACAGTTCACACGCTGTTGTCTAATCAATGACCAAAGCTGCCACTACTGCAATTCCAGCTTGTTATTTTGTGCCTGTCTCTTTTCCTGCATTGAAGCTTTGTGGGAATGACATTAAGTTCTTTGTGCAGTAGCTACTTGCAAGCGCTACCAGACAAGTGACATAAAAATGCTTGATCTGCATGACAGCCTCTCAATATTTTAAAAGCAAAACTTCAAGTCTGCTGTAACTGCTCATGAATCAACCACATATATTCAGCATTAGTCCAAAACAGTGATACTTTTTTTTGTGTCAAACTTCACGTTAGATGTATACATCAGCATTTACCACTAACACTCAAAACCACTCTTCTTAAAGTAAGAAGCAAATGGGGTAAAGCAGCAGATTATTTGTATATATCGGAATTTAGCTAGAGAAAATAAAATATTTAAAAACGATCTTGGAAACTGAAAAATAAAAATAATAATAGGAAACAGCATGGAACACTGCAAGAAAACTCTACATTTCTTTTTTTGGCAAGGCAGCCCAACTGAAGAACAAACTGATGCATTTGGGTTTTTTTTTCCCCATGATCTGTGTGTGCTTACCTGAGAACACGAGGAGATATCTTTGAAATTCTTTTCAAGCACAACGGACTTGGTGTCAGGACTGATGAGGTTAACTTCAAACCTTCCAACCTTGAAAAGAAGTGGAAAAAAAAAATAGGAAAATTTAGTTTGTGATTGTCTCAGTGTTAGTGGTAACAAGAAACATCAAAATCCAGTTGTTTTTGGTACACCTAGAAATACCTGTAGCGTAACAGCTTACTTGGTAGGAATAAGGGGCATAATTTAGCTTGCGTTGAGTTAAAAGTATTTCAGTAAGAACATGCAATTCACTGGGAAAGTTTTTAAAAGAAGATGTTTTTTCTCTTCCTTTTTGAGTTATTTTGATTCGAAGAGCCTACGTTTAACAGATGCTACTTAAATCCTTAGTAAAGAAACAGTACAGGTAAATTACAAGCCACAATTGGGGGGAAAAAACAGCAAAAACATCAAAATTACCTAACTTGTAGGTTTTTTTTCTTTTTAAACTATACCACAGATTAATTGAGAGTTGATCTTAAGGCACTATCTTTATTTTCCATAATAATTGTGATTGAAAATGACTATGTCATGCAAGGAGCTACCTTTTCGCTTTTCCAAGCCGCTGCTCAAGTGTGTGAACTGATCCATGGAGCCTGAGGGGTTTTCCAGCTAAATCCTTTTGACTAGTTACTAATGACAGCCCTGGCTTTCCAAAGGAGAATACACCCCCAACACACACACTTCAGTCCAATACTTCCCCAAAGAATAAAAGGCTAGACTGAGCTTTAAAGCCAAAGGCAAGACAAAACCCAGGCATTTATCTCCTGGTTATTTTAAGGTGTCGAAAGATCCTTCCTTTTCTGGGTCACCTCCTTTTCTGGGTCACCTTCCTTCACTTGGGTCACCAAAAGTCTCTTTTGTCTTCTCAATACTGGCTCTGAAGACCTCAAACAGTAGAGGTGAGGAATGGAAGAACTGTGAGGTCTGATGGAAGAGCCCTTCACAACAAGTAGAAGCAGTTGAGATTTTGCAGATCACTTGCTTGGGAAAGGCAGGCTTAAGGTATAAGTTATCACAAAAGGGCTGACTCAAACATAATGCTATGGAGCAGGAATTTGTAGGAGTAAATGTGTAGCAAGGAAGATTTATTCACACCGAAAGCCTCATGGGATCACCAGTTTGAAAAAATACCTACTGTTTTCAGCTCTCTCCTGCGTCTCAATAATAGAGATGGACCAGATTCGCATACAAAATATGCGAGTCTCTCCCCTAGGGCCACTGCTCCTGTTGTCAACGTGTAATTCTTCTCTCTAATGTTTGCCTGCGCTCATGATTTGAGCCGACTTCCTTCAGCAAGTCCAGATACTTGTGCCCCAATCACTACAAATGCATCGATATTCTCGACAGGCCATGAAACCACCCCAAATCCCACCGCTTATCTTCCAAAACTTGTCCCCGCTCCAAAACGCACCAGGGAAGGCAGGGCACAGGCCAAGCTGCGCTCCCATCCGTGACCTTGCCGCTCCTAGCACGCACCTGGAACAGCATGGTCCTGTTCTTCTCCGAATCCGAGGGCTGCACGTGACTGGGCGCGCTGGCGTGCCTGCGGCGCGCCTGCACTTTCAGGCTGCCCTCGTGGACCCTTCTCTGCGTGACGGCCGTGACGCTGCTGCAGCGCGCCCGGAACTCCTGCTGCTCGTCCCAGCCGAAGTCCTCCAGGATCCGCTCCGGGAAGGAGCCGCGCGCGCTGCACAGGCCGGCCAGGTTGCTCTGGCTGCCCACCGTAAACATGCCGGGCTGCGGCGCGGCGCCGGGAGCGCCGTTGGCCTCCTCGAAGGGACTGTCTGGCGGGGAAGCGGGCACTTCTCCTTCTCCCAAGGGCAAATCCAAGCTGGCCTCGGCACTGCGCTGCTCGCTGAGGAGCTTGAGGCGCTGGCGCTCGTGCAGGCTGAACTTCTCGATGCAGTCGTCGATGAGCGTGGAGGGCGCTTTCTTGTGGGCCACCGTCACCTTCCCACAGTACAAGACCTCAAACTTTTGGGAGTTGTAGAAGGCGTCTTCGCTGTCCTTGCTGCTCTTGGCATCTTCCTTCAGCGCTGCCTTGGAGACTTGCCGTATGCTGCTGATGACATCGGGAACCTGAAGGAGAATTTAAAAGTCCCTTTAGCAGCCACAAACAAAACACCGCAGGCAGCGATACGCCAGACCTCTGCAATATAAATGTTTACAGGAGTTACTGCTTCAGCTGAGCCCTACCAGCTTCTCGGCTGACAACATAAACCCAGTAATTTCTAAATTCTGCACAGGCAGTTTCTGAAGGGTAAGCAGAGGAAATTATTCCTAATATTGTTTTAGCAGAACATGCTTCAGAGCGTGAGGTTTTAAACAGCCAGAGCGATCACCTTGAAGTCTACTGACAAATGGCTCTTCTACCAACATGCCTTTCTGCAGCCCTTTTCCCACATCAGTGTTTCTCTCTGGTGTATTGTGTACGTGGCAATAGGGCCACCTTTTCTTTTTTCTTTTTCTTTTATTTTCAGAGCCAAATATTCCACTTTTGGGGCTCTTTCAGAAACAGTCTTCTACAAATGAAGAGACCAATAATCCCCATTTATTTTCACCCAACCAGCTGCAGATGGGAGCGATTCTAGTCCCTTTTCCAGCGCTACCCACCTGTGCTCAGCTCAGCCCTTCCCACCACCAGGAAGCCAGGAAGGGCATCATTCCACGGGCACTTGGGAAGATACCAGCAGCAGTGAGATGAGGGCCTGCTCAGCCTACCTTCACCAATAAAGGACCCAGTTCTCAATGAAAAGCTAACCCAATACAGAGCTGGAGAGCCACACTGTATTCCACGCAGATGTGGCAGGAAGCTGTAATTTACTCCTGATAATTTACTCCATTTTTTCCCTGAAGAACGGAACCCTGAAGTCCCAACACAATCCATGCTCCCTGCAGGATCTTTCCCCGGTCGACGAGTCCCGGGGCCGATCCTTCGGCCAGAGCAGCGGTGCCCGGCGCCGCTGCCGCCCGCCGGCCCTGCCCGTCGCGCTGCTGCCTGCCACGGGAAGCTCCCTTCCCTACAAACCCCCTAACGGCTCCGCCGCGGCCCTCGGAGGCCTCATCCCTTGGGTTCTCCACGAGCACAGTTAACACTCCCTGACAGGCTGCCCCACAGCCCTAGGGCTGCCCCACACAGAGCTGTCTTCCCTCATCACTCACCTTCTCCTCAGGTTGTGCCTCGAGAAGCTCTGGGGCTTCAGGCCCTTAATTCACCAGCTACCTGTCTTGTAGTGGAAATTCCCCTCTCCACATCCAGAGCCTGTTACAGAACAATGGCACATTTTTTCCTATCAACAGTGGCAAATGAAAATTCCCTCCAAAACATTTAAATTCCACAGTGCCATCCCTGGTTTAATCCATACCAGCGGCCGATTAAGCAATATGGATTTTTAATTTTTTTATTTTATACCAAACTGACAATCACTTCTGCAGTGACTGGGTCCTCTCACTTACTAATAATTACCAAGATACAGAAAGATTTTTCAAAGGATTCATAAGTCTCCTAACACATCCTCATTCCCTGCCAGTAAATGTCCAGATACATCAGGTATTAGAAGCGACTTCCAACACTGCCACAAAAGGATTTCCAAACCCATCTGCTCCCAGAGACTTCTCACATGCACACACATGAGCTTTATGCAACTGCAGTTCAGACAAAAGAAAACCAAAATGTTATCCTGACACCCTGCTATCTTTTGCTTTGTTTAGTTTTCATCTTTCTGGGTAGCAGGCATTATTCAGGTACCTGTATCCAAGTCACAATTACTGTTTCATGATGCCTTGGCTTGAGAAAAAAAAACATAATTGGGATGAAGTGGGATCAAATATCACCTGTATTTGACTGAAATGCAAGGTACAGCAGACCTTTCACAACTGTCAAGCAGGGCCACCACCCCAGTGTGGCTTTTTACATGTTTCTTCAACATATATCCCTGTTTTTGACCTTTTGCTCCTATATATCCTTTTGACCTATATATCAAGAAGTCCCATTTCCAAAAGTTTCACCAAAGTTGCACAACTTGTCGTATTGGTTATTAGCTCATTAACTGTTAATGTTGAAATTACAGGGCAAAGTTAGACAAGACAGTAGCCAGAATTAAGGTTTTTTTTTTTTTTTTTTTTAAGTGGTGAATTAACACCATGACGCTTCTTAACTGCTTTTAGAAATCCGGTTACTAACAGTAAGAATTCTCAAAAGACCCAAAATTTTTATTATTAAGTTTCCAAATTCCCATATTTTTTTCTACAGCAGCCTCATAAAATTAAGATCCCAAAGGAAAAAAAAAATGGGATTACTCCTTAATTCCATAGGGCAACTGCTGATCCTCCTCAACATAAATTACTCGCAACAATAGTAAGGTAAATCAAAAAGGTTAACTACATTTTCACACAAATAATTTTTCAGCATTTACTTATATACAATAAATCAATTTTAAATATTCAAATCATCTATCTGATTATAATTTTGATCTCCAAGCCTTGAAGACAGTTATTTCAAACCAGAAGCCTGGGATAGTGGGAACAGGCAGTGCAATGCTCATGGACATATCTCATCCCTATCAAACCAAATGGTGCTAGTACTGGAGCAGAGTAAGAAAGACTAAATTTTCCACGCTTTGCTTCTCACTCATGTCTTTTGGTCTTATTCTCCAACTATTGCTTGGCAAGGGAATATGACTTCCCCGAGGAAGACAGGGGACTTCTCAGGCACAAAAGGAGGAGCCAATGGCCCAGACAGAGCTGCACTGGGATAACAGATCTCAGATCAGATGGGCAAGTCAAAAGTATATTGACTATATGGTATTATTATTGCAGTTATTATTCATGAGGTCTGCCTAAATCATGGAAGAATTGGAGACTGCAATACTAAGGGAAAGAGAGCTGCTCCAAAAAAAGACATACAAAAAGTAGGGCAATACAAGTTTAAGTTAGGAGTATTCTGTATTGATATATGGGCCTGAACTCATAAGCATTTAATGACATTTGAAACAGTATCTATCCAATATTCTGTACTTACTGACCAGAACAAATAAAAAGTCCATTAATTTTTCCATTTAAAATGCCTACTGAAACACAAGCTCTGATGCTACTCACTGGAAGCATGTGCTCCTCAGGGATGGGCACAAAAATTTGGTTCTGCAAAAATAATGCAAAACCTGCAAGGAAATACACAACTATGAAGAGTTGCACATAGACCCCAAAGTGGCCATACTTCACTCAAGGGAACTGTGACAGATCTGGTAAGTCTGATTGCATTCCCAGGTGTGGATTTCTTCTGCTTACACTGGTTCTTATGCTTATTTGAGCAGCTTACGAGCATCTTAACATCCTTCCTCCCCCAGCTAGACCAGATTTAGCACATGCCAATGCACTAAGCACTGGTAACCTCGCTCTATCCAGAACAGATGTCACTGCCCAAGCCCTTCAGCCCCTACTGTAAGACCCAGCTGTAAATACATAAGGTGGGAACTAACATGTGCCACGTGTTAAACCCTCACTAACTCTGTTCGTCAGAGACAGTAGAGTTTTGGTAAGCTGAATCTAATGTCAGCATCAATTTGGGGATGGGCCAAATGGTCCTTCCATCTATTCCCATCTGCACCTTGGTTTTACATCCTATTCTGGCCTTTGTTAAGGACCTGGGGAGCTCTCCAGCACATCATCCATTTGGCCAACCAGTTTAAGGCTGCACTGCCTAAACTTGGGTAGAAAATGAGCTGCTAATCCCAGCTCTGCAGTTCTTGGATTCAGTCCCTTTCTGACCCTTGTAACCAGACTTGCAACAGGCTCAAAGCACAACAGAGAGCAGGGAGCTCTCTTGAGCACAAATATCACCCCATACCCTGCATACATAAATGCTAAACTGCCAAGACCATTATATGGCACATCCCAAAACGTAATTCCTCTCTATGCAGGTGTGTTTTCACGTTGGCAGCAGTGACTAAACCAGCTCCACTCCTGAGCTTTCACCCCACCTGGTTAAAATCAAAGAGAATAAAACAGGATCACAGGAAAAATATTTAACACCAAGTTAAAACTTTCTTAGCAAGTTCTTTCAGATGATGCAATTACCTTTCGTTAAAAAAAAAATAAAAAATCAAGATATTGTTGATAAACCCCTAGCAGGGCTGGTAAAGCTCAAATTAGGCTATCAAGTTTCTCAAGTCACACATAGAGCAGCATCAAGCAGCTCCCTTAGAATCACAGAATGCTTAAGGTTGGAAGGGACCAGAGATCATCTAGTCCAACCCCTCTGCACATGCAGGGTCACCCAGGGCACGGGGCACAGGGCGGCATCCAGGCAGGTTGGAAGATCTCCAGAGAAGGAGACTCCACAGCCTCCCTGGGCAGCCTGTCCCAGGGCTCTGTTACCATCACTGCCAAGAAATCCGCCCTTAAATTCCTGTGGAACTTTTGGTGCCTCAGCTTGTGGCCGTTTCCTCTAGTCCTATCGCTGGTCACCACTGAAAAGAGGCCGCCCCCTCCTCCTCACTCCCTCCCTTGAGGTATTTATACACACTGATCAGGTCCCCCCTCAGCCTTCTCTTCTCCAGGCTGAACAGGCCCAGCTCCCTCAGCCTTTGCTCATAGGGCAGATGTTCCAGGCCCCTGATCATCCTGGTAGCCCTGCGCTGGACTCTCTCCAGCAGCTCCACATCCCTCTTGTACTGGGCAGCCCAGAACTGGACACAGTGCTCCAGATGTGGCCTCACCAGGGCTGAGTAGAAGGGCAGGATCCCCTCCCTCGACCTGCTAGAGACGCTTTTCTTAACGCACCCCAGGGTCCCATTGCCTGCCTTGGCCTCCTGGGCCATTTCTTTGTTACCCCTCTGGAGTGGGCCGACCAGGTGATGCTGCGTGTTTTCATAGAATCACAGAATCATAGAATGCCGAAGGTTGGAAGGGACCTCAGAGGTCATCAAGTCCAACCCCCCTGCTCACACAGGGTCACCTAGAGCACGTGGCACAGGGCTGCATCCAAGCGGGTTTTAAAGAGCTCCAAAGAAGGAGACTCCACAACCTCTCTGGGCAGCCTGTTCCAGTGCTTTGTCACCCTCACAGTGA